TATCTGGGACCTGGGACTTACCCGGCATCTCTCACTTCAAGTAGCTTTGAAGTCTCTGTGTGATCTCTCCCTGCAGTCTCTCCAGGATGGCCCCAGGAGTAGCCAAATTTCTTACCTGGCAGCTTGCTTCCCCTATAGCCAGTCTTCCAATAAAGATGTAGACTCTTATTTATTTATTTTTGAGACTGAGTTGCTCTGTCGCCCAGGCTGGAGTGCTTTGGCGAGACCTCTGCTCACTGCAACCTGTGCCTCCCAGGTTCAAGCGATTCTCCTGCCTTAGCCTCCGGAGTAGCTGGGACTACAGGCGCCCACCACCATGCCTGGCTAATTTTTTTTGTATTTTTAGTAGAGATGGGGTTTCACCATGTTGGCCAAGTTGATCTTGATCTCCTGACCTTGTGATCCACCTTGGCCTCCCAAAGTGCTGGGATTACAGGTGTGAGCCACTGCGCTGGGCTGGAGATATAGACTCTCTTAAGCTAGGCTGGCAGTTTTACTGTATTCTATTGCTTATAGCAGTTACAGAACCCTCCAGATTAAATGGGAGGGGACAAAGAACTCCACACTTCTGGATGGAAACAATGTCAAATAATTTGTGGCCATCTTTCTTTTGCCATATGGATATACGAGATTTGGGTGCTGGCATTAAAAGAGAAAAGTCCAGGGTAATTACTAGATTTTTAGACTGTGTCACGGTGATGGTGGCCACACAGATACACACTACATGTGAGAGTATTTCGAATGGGGTAACATGAGCTCCATTTTCGATATATCGAGTTTGAGATGCCGTGGGAAATCCAAGTAGCATCAGGGAGGCAGCTAAATATAAAGGCTGAGAGCTCAGCAAAAGAGGTCTGACCTCTATAAATCAATGTGGAAATAATCAGTCTTCAGAATAGTTCTCTCAACTGTGAAGCATCAGTGTCATGAGCAGTTATAATTTAGATAGCCAGGAATTGGTAAATAATAACAGTTGAAGTGCTGGCATCTGGTTTTTTGTTTTTGTCTTTTGAGATGGTGTCTTGCTCTGTCGCCCAGGGTGAGTGCAATGGTGTGATCTCAGCTCACTGCAACCTCCACCTCCTGGGCTCAAGTGATTCTTCTGTCTCAGCCTCCTGAGTAGCTGGGATTACAGGCACCTGCCATCATACCAGGCTAATTTTTTTTTTTTAATTTTTAGTAGAGACAAGAGTTTCATCATGTTGGCCAGGCTGGTTTCAAACTCCTGATCGCAGGTGATCTGCTGGCCTCAGCCTCCCAAAGTGCTGGGATTACAGCCGTGAGCCACCTTGCCTGGCCAGCATCTGTTTAATAATCCCACTCTCACCAGACATGGTGGCTCACACCTGTAATCCCAGCACTTTGGGAGGCTGAGGCAGGTGGATCACGAGATCAGGAGTTCAAGAGCAGCCTGGCCAACACGGTGAAACCCCATCTCTACTAAAAATACCAACAAATTAGCTGGGCATGGTGTCAGAGGCCTGTAATCCCAACTACTCGGGAGGCTGAAGCAGAGAATTGCTTGAACCCAGGAGGTGGAGGTTGCATTGAGCCAAGATCATGCCACTGCACTCCAGCCTGGGCAACAGAGTGAGACTCCGTCTCAAAAAACAAAAAATGCCACTCTCACATTCAGTGTATAGTCTTAGTATAGGACTTTATTCAGGGAGAAATAATGAAATCTCAGGAGTTTAAAATTTTGCCTCAGAAAAAAATGTTTAAATGGTAGTTCTGTTCAATAATGCAGCATTTTCATTCAGCAACATTAGAACCTTTAGCACCAATACTGACTGTTCCTACAAAGAAATACAACTCAACTTTCTTCTCTGTTCTCCAGACTCGCTCCTCTTCTCCTGTTCCCACCCAGTCTACAGCACCAGTTGTCCAAAGACAGCAGTTATACTAGACGTGGCCCTCCCTCTCACTTTCACACTCACCAGGCCAAATCCCATTGATTTTAACTCCTAAACATTCCTACAAATATACTCCCTTCTTCTTTATGCCACTCACGGCCTCATCAACTCTTGCCTGCACTACTCATGCATTCATTCATTCACTCATTCATTCACCATGTACCAAATGCCTCTAAGTGTCAGGCATGCTACTTGGAGTATGGAGTCTAGTAGAAGGGTAGGGGATGAGTACAGAAAGCAGGGGGGCAATTTAGGAGGCTTTTACAATAATCCAGGCGAGATATTAGTGGTTTGGATATTGGTGGATATTGGTGGGTGATGGCAGTTGAGGTGAGAAATGCTTGGGCTGTAGATGCTTTGATATTTTGAAGGTAGTAGGCTGGGTGTGGTGGCTCATGCCTATAATCCCAGCACTTTGGGAGGCCGAGGCAGTCAGATCACTTGAGGCCAGGAGTTCAAGACCAGCCTGACCATTATAGTGAAACCCTTGTCTCTACTAAAAATACAAAAATTAGCTGGGTGTGGTGGCACATACCTGTGGTCCCAGCTACTGGGGAGGCTGAGGCACAAGAATCACTTGAACCAAGAGGTTGCAGTGAGCCAAGAACACACCACTGCACTCCACCCTGGGTGAGAGAGCAAGACTCCATCTCAAAATATATTCATACATACATATATAAGCATGTATATACAAATATATGTGAGAAAAAAAGAGGACTCGGGATTCTGTCTTGAGCAACTGGAACAGTGCTGGTAACTGAGATGGGGGAAGTAAGTGTGGGGACAGAGGTCAGGATTTCAGTTTCAGACATGTCAAATCTAAGATGCAGAACAGGCAGTTGAATATACAAAGCTGGACTTTGGGGGAGAAGTTCAGACTGGAGGTACACATTTGGGGATGATTGGCATATAGTAATCTGATATTTAAAGCCAGAAAGCTGGGCGAGATTCTCAGGGGAGTGTTTGTAGACAGAAGAGAAGACCAAGAACTGAACTCTGGACATTCCAACATCAAGAGGTTGGGGAAAACAGGAGCATCTAGGAAGGAGTCTGAAAAGGAACAGTTAGTGAAATAGGTAGAAATCAAGAGAGTGGTGTCCCTGACGCCACATGAAGAATGTGTTTCCTCGAGGAAGGAGCAAGCAATTGGTCAAATTCTACAAGTAGTCAAGTAAGCTTAGAAATAACAGTTCAGGCCAGATGCTGTGACTCATGCCTGTAATTCCAGCACTTTGTGAGGCGGAGGCAGGAGGATCACTTGAGACCTGGAGTTTGAGGCTGCAGTGAACTGGGATCCCATCACTGCACCCGAGCCTGGGTAACAGAGCAAGATTCTGTGCCAAAAAAAGAGAAAAGAAATAGCAGTTTCATATTAGATAGGATGGGTAATGTGGACGTCATTAATAATCTGGAAAAAAAGCAGTTTCAGCAAGGCAGTAAGAGCAAGAGCCTGATAAACATGGATTTCAGATGCGGTGACTCACGGCTGTAATCCCAGCACTTTGGGAGGCCAAGGTGGGTGGATCACTTGAAGTAAGGATTTTAAGACCAGCCTGTCCAACATGGTGAAACCATCTCTACTAAAAGTACAAAAAGATTAGCCAGGTGAGGCAGCGCATGCCTATAATCCCAGCTATTTGGGAGGCTGAGGCAGGAGAATCGCTTGAACCAGGGAGGCGGAGGTTGCAGTGAGCCAAGATCCTACCATTGTACTCCAGCCTGGGTAACAAAGAGCAAAACTCCATCTCCAAAAATAAATAAGTAAATAAAAATAAGAGAATGAGAGAAAAGAATTAGAACACTCGAGTTTTGCTGTGGGGTGAGAGGAGAAGAGATATGGAATAATAGCTGTAGAGAGTAGAAGTTGAGGGAGTGTTTGTATGCTTAGTACATAGAGTACTAAGTAAAAAGAAAAACTGAAAATGGAAAGAACTGAATTGCTGGAATGATGACCTTGAGCAGGTGTTTTTAAGGAAGTAAGAAAGTTCGTCTCTGCATGAGCTCAGAATCAGTTTAATTTACAGTAACAGGAAGGGAAGGCAAAATATGTGGCTACAGATGCTGGTAGGTGGGGAGATGTCATTGTAGAAGAAGTCCTCCCTTCCTCCTTCCCAGATGTATCTCCTTCTAGCTATGTTGGAATGCAGTGGCAAGATTGCAGCTCACTGTAACCTCCAACTCCTGGGCTCAAGCAATCCTCCTATAACTGAGACTACAGAGGCACACCACTACGTCTCGCTAATTTTTAAAAAAATTTTATTAGAAATGGGGGTATGTTGCCCAGGCTGGTCTTGAACTCCTGGCCTCAAGCCATCCTTCCATCTTGGCCTCTGATTGCTTTTTCTAAATGAAGAAGCAAGCTGAGAGTGAGGATGAGGGAGGAGGCAATGAAAGTTACAGGAGTTACGAAATAAATACTCATTCAGAACAGTTTAAGTGGAGAAAGCAAATACAATGTGTTTGCTGGGCAGCATTATGGGCCCACTCAAGGTTCACAGTCTTGATGGAGTTACAGGGAGGCATGTCAGTATGGGTGTATAGTTTTATTTTTATTTATTTATTTTTGAGAGGAGTTTCGCTCTTGTTACCCAGGCTGGAGTGCAATGGCGCGATCTCGGCTCACCGCAACCTCCGTCTCCTGGGTTCAAGCAATTCTCCTGCCTCCGCCTCCCGAGTAGCTGGGACTACAGGCACGTACCACCATGCCCAGCTAATTTTTGTATTTTTAGTAGAGACGGGGGTTTCACCTTGTTGACCAGGATGGTCTCGATCTCTTGACCTCGTGATCCACCCGCCTCGGCCTCCCAAAGTGCTGGGATTATAGGCGTGAGCCACCGCGCCCGGCCCAACATCTTCTAAACACTGAGGACTATGGGCCTTTACTGTATTGACAGCCAAGTGCAAGATCATGGGTTGAATGAATGACAAAATGCCTTTCACGCATCCAAGTGAGTAGCACTCAGGAAACCTCAGCAGGTGGCAGCATCAAGGTTTAACTAATACATTACGTTTCATTATACAGGTATACACGAATACAGTCTCTTGGTGGGGGGAAAAGGCCAAAACCAAAGGCCTTTTCCTCACTACCCCTTCCTCACTCCACTATCCCAAGTGTCGCCGCTGAAGAGTGAAGGGAGGATCGGGCAGAGATTTACAGACGGACAGCCTGACCAAGTGAGAGATGACCGTGAACGCGGGATCCGGCCGTGCCTCTCCGGATCTCGCCCCTCCTGGGAGACTCGACCCGCGTTTTTGAAACCGAAACAAACCCGGCCCCGCCCCCTGCCCTGCAGCCGCCGAGAAAAGAGCACCGCCCTCTGGAGGCGTCCTAGCCGACCACTCGAAGGTTCCCACAGATAGAATCGGCCTCCCCGGCCCACTTCTCTTCTGGCTTCCTCGCTGCCCACCCTCATTCTCAGGGTGGAAGCCCCGCAACGAAAGGCCGGAACTGCCTTTCCGCTCGCAACTTGCCTCCTGCCCGCAGCTCTGCCGCCCCGCCCCCGGAAGTGACGCAGGCCGCGCGGACCTCCCTTTGTCCCGTCGGGCATCGCGGCGGCGGCGGGAAGATGGCGGCGGCGGGTTCGATAGATCGGAGCTTCGTGGAGCTAAGCGGAGCAGAGCGCGAAAGGCCGAGGCACTTTCGGGAATTCACAGTCTGCAGCATTGGTACGGGTTGCCAGGAACGGCGCGATCCGATCTGTCCCCTCGGGCTCCTCTCATGGGTCCCACGATCTGACTCCCTGGTTCATCCTCCTGAGTCCACATGCCTCTAGCCCCGGGATCAGAGATTCCTTGGCGTCTGATGTTTTCCTCTTCGTATGGGTTGTCAGTCTGTCACCCTCTGCTTTGTCAGCTCCCTTAGTCCCTGTCATTTCTCGGAGGACGCCTGTGCAGTCTGACCACGTTCATTTTGCAGGGACTGCAAATGCCGTGGCTGGCGCCGCAAAATACAGTGAGAGCGCGGGAGGCTTTTACTATGGAGAGAGTGGCAAGTTGTTCTCCATCACCAGAAACAGGTTCATTCATTGGTAAGTACTGTGGTTCTCTAGACTCCCCTGGCAAGGTTGAGTTTGGTGTATAAATTTTCATCGCTGTTCCCAGTGTTATTCTAGAAATGGTAATTGACATTTAGGGAAAGAGAAAGGTTGTTTTTTCAGTTCATATGAGAATCAGGGGACAACTGAGACACAGAGTTCTAGAAGAGGTACCCCCCACACACACACATATCAAACAACACTAAAAGCAGAGGATATGTAGCTTAGGGGATAAAGCCCATAAGACCGGTTTTAAACATGAACCCATTATGTTTTATTTACAGCTTTCTTCATTGTTCATATATGTTTGAGCTTCAGTAAGTCAGACATTGTGCTAGGTACCAGGATGAAATAAACAAAAACAACCACCATTTTCATCATGCAAGAAGTTGTAACAATGTCAGAGTAGATATGGATCCACTTTTCATGGAAGTTTTGTGGAGGAAAAAGACATTAAAACTAATGACCACAACACAGGTATATAAAAACAAGTTTTCTTTTTTTTTTTTTTTTTTTTTTGAGACAGAGTTTCGCTCTTGTTACCCAGGCTGCAGTGCAGTGGCGCGATCTCGGCTCACCACAACCTCCACCTCCTGGGTTCAGGCAATTCTCCTGCCTCAGCCTCCTGAGTAGCTGGGATTACAGGCACGCGCCACCATGCCCAGCTAATTTGTTGTATTTTTAGTAGAGACGGAGTTTCACCATGTTGACCAGGATGGTCTCGATCTCTTGACCTCGTGATCCACCCGCCTCAGCCTCCCAAAGTGCTGGGATTGCAGACTTGAGCCACTGTGCCAGGCCAAAAACAAGTTTTCATACTTGCCCTAGAGGAAAAATATCGGGGTATGAGAGGCTGAGAGGACCAAATGTAATTAGTGGGGCAGGGAAAGGCTTTAAGGAATTCACAGTTACCCTGAGATCTGAAGGACACGAGGTTAGCCAGGCAAGGGGAGCGGACAGAGAGCAGTCCGGCAAGTAGGATCACCATATGCAAAGGTCATAAGTGGCGAGAATTTGGCAGATTTGGAACTGAACAAAGATCTGTGTGGCTTAAGTGCAGTGGGTAGAACAGAAAGTGATGTGAGATACTGAGGTTGGTGAGGGAGGCAGGACTCTGATTATGAGGGACTCTTAGGCCATTTTTAAGGATTTTTGGATTTTATCCTAAGTACATTGAGTTATCATTGAAAGGTTTTTAAAGAGTAACATCAAAATTGCAATTTTGGATGGGAAGAGTTAACACTGGGGATTCCAAAAGTAGGGAGGGAGAGAAGCAAGAGTTGGAAAACCTATTGGGTACTGTGTTCAAAGCTTGGGCAGCGGGATCATTAGAAGCCCAAACCTTATGTATATAGGGATATACACACAGCAAACTCGTAACAAGCCTGCGCATGTATCCCTGAATCTAAATTTTTTCAGATGTATTTTTAGAAGATCTCAGTCTACTTTTGTGTGGAAGGTGGATTTGGATTAGATGGGTATAATAGGTATAATACAAAGAAAATTTTGCTCTTAGGATGACCTAAGTAAGAGTTGCTGGTGGCTCACTTGTGGGAATGACTAGAAACAGAAAAGTAGATGGACTCAAGATGCCTTTGGAAGATAGATTCACTAGGACTTGGTGGTGGATTGAATATGGGGTAAGGGATGGTAAATGAAAAGGAGAGAGCAGGACAACTCCCTGGTGTCTGATGTGACTAACCAGATATGAGTGGGGAGGGGTTGCCATTTACAGAGATAACATAGAAGATGGATTTTGGAAAGATATGAATAATTGTATCGAAAATAGTAAATCTGAAGTACCTGGGCAGCAGCCCTTTGAAAATGTCAAGTAGGCCTTGAAAGTTATACATCTAAGGCTCAAAAGAGAGACTTATATTAGAGATACAAATTTCGTTTAATTAAGAACTATTTTGGCTGGGTACAGTGCCTCACACCTGTAATCACAGCACTTTGGGGAACTGAGGTGGGAGGATCTCTTGAGGCCAGGAGTTCAAGACCCCATTTCTAAAAAAAAAAAAGTTTTGTTTGTTTTTTTTTTGAGAGACAGTCTGGTTCCATTGCCCAGGCTGGAGTACAGTGGTGCAATCACAGCTCACTGCAACCTTTGCCTCCTGGGTTCAAGTGACCCTCCCACCTAAGCCTCCCAAGTAGCTGGAATTACAGGTCTGCACCACCACGCCCAGCTAATTTTTGTGTTTGTTTTTGTAGAGATGGGGTTTTGCCTTATTGCCTGGGCTGATCTCAAACTGCTGGACCCCTTCTTGGCCTCCCAACTTGCTGGGATTACAGGAGTGAGCCACCATGTCTGGCTTGATTTTTAAAAAATAAACCGGGCAACGTGGCGTGTGCCTTTCTTTTTTGAGATGGAATTTCACTCTTGTTACCCAGGCTGGAGTGCAATGGCGCGATCTCAGCTCACCGCAACCTCCGCCTTCTGGGTTCGATTCTCCTGCCTCAGCTTCCCAACTAGCTGGGATTACAGGCACGCGCCACTGTGCCCAGCTAATTTTTTGTATTTTTAGTAGAGACGGGGTTTCACCATGTTGACCAGGATGATCTCGATCTCTTGACCTCGTGATCCACAATGCCTTGACCTCCCAAAGTGCTGGGTTTACAGGCTTGAGCCACCGCACCCGGCGGCGTGTGCCTTTCATCTTAACTACTCAGGAGGCTGAGGTGGGAGGATATGATCATGCCACTACACTGCAGCTTGGGCAACAGGGTGAGACCCCATCTCTTTAAAAAAAAAAAAAAGAAGAAGAAGAAAGAAAGAGAGAGAGAGAAAGAAAGAAAATTTGCTTGCCTATTATGTTTCAGTCAATTTTTAGGGAATAGGGGCAAAGCAGAGAACAAAACAAAGTCCCTGCCATCATGGAGAAAGATAGGCAACAACAATAACCAAAAAAACCTAAGTGCATGTAGTTTTGTTACAGGAAAAGGGTCCTGATCTAGACCCCAAGGGAGGGTTCTTGGGTCTCACACAAGAAAGAATTCAGGGTGAGTCTGCAGTGCAAAGCAAAAGCAGATTTATTAAGAAAGTAAAGGAGGCTAGGCACGGTGGCTCATGCCTGTAATCTCAGCACTTTAGGAGGCCCAGGCGGGTGGATCACCTGAGGTCAAGAGTTTGAGACCAGCCTGACTAGTATGGTGAAACCCTGTCTCTGTTAAAATACAAAATTAGCTGGGTATGGTGGCGCATGCCTGTAATCCCAGCTCCTTGGGAGGCTGAGGCAGGAGAATAGCTTGAATCCAGGAGGTTGAGGTTGCAGTGAGATGAGATTGCCTCATCGCGCCCCAGCCTGGGCAAACGAGTAAAACTCCATCGCAAAAGAAAAAAAGGAAAGGAATAAACTACTCCTTTGCAGAGCAGCCCTAGAGGACTTCTGGTTGCCCATTTTTATGGTTATTTCTTGATGATTTACTAAACAGGGGTGGATTCGTTATCCCTCCATTTTTTAGACCATATAGGGTAACTTCCTGATGTTGCCATGACATTTGTAAACTGTCATGGCATTGGTGGGAGTGTAGGCAGTGAGGACAACAGGCGGTGACTCTTGTCACAATTTTGGTTTTGGCTGGCTCTTTTACTGCAACCTGTTTTATCAGTAGGGTCTTTATGACCTGTATTTTGTGCTGACCTTCTATTGCATCCTGCGGCTTAGAATGCCTTACCTGTCTAGGAATGCAGCCCAGGAGGTTTCAGTCTCATTTTACCCAAGTCCTATTCAAGATGGAGTTGTTCTGGTTCACACGCCTCTGAGAGTTTGTCAGTTGATAAATGGAATAGGGAAAAGGGGACAGCATAAGGGGGAAGAGGAATACCTGTGGGAGTTATGTTTTATGTAGGGTGGTTGAGCAAGAGCCAGGGGTAAGGTGACATTTGAACAGAAGAAAGGATATCTGGGGAATGAGTATTTCAGGTAGAGCCTTTCAAGAAGAAGGAATAAAGAGCGCAAAGAACCCTGAGACAGGAGCTTGTTGTGTTCAAAGAGTGGAAAGGAGCCAGGAATCTGCAGCTGAGTGAACAAAGAATAGAATAATAAGAAAGAGGTAGCTGAGGGCCAGATCAGGGCTTTGTTGGTTATTCTAAGCTTTGGCTTTTACTCTGAGTAAGATGGAAAGAAGCTGTGGAAGGTTCAAGTGGAGGAATGACATGTTTTGTTTTGTTTTTTTTTGAGACGGAGTTTCGCTCTTGTTACCCAGGCTGGAATGCAATGGCGCAATCTCGGCTCACCGCAGCCTCCGCCTCCTGGATTCAGGCAATTCTCCTGCCTCAGCCTCCTGAGTAGCTGGGATTACAGGCATATGCCACCATGCCCAGCTAATTCTTTGTGTTTTAGTAGAGACGGGGTTTACCATGTTGACCAGGATGGTCTCGATCTCTTGACCTCGTGATCCACCTGCCTCAGCCTCCCAAAGTGCTGGGATTACAGGCATGAGCCAGCGCACCCGGCCTTTTTTTTTTTTGAGACGGAGTTTCGTGTTGCCCAGGTTGGAGTGCAGTGGCATGATCTCGGTGTCCACAGCCTCTGCCTCCCAGGTTCAAGTAATTCTCCTGCCTCAGCCTCCCAAGTAGCTGGGATACAGGCGTGCACCACCACGACCGGCTAATTTTGTATTTTTAGTAGAGATGAGGTTTCTCCATGTTGGTCAGGCTGGTGTCCAACTCCCAACCTCAGGTGATCTACCCGCCTCAGCTTCCCAAAGTGCTGGGATTACAGGCGTGCACCACTGCACCTGGCCTAAGATCTGGGTTTCTAAAGGATTGCTGTGACTGCTATGTTGGGAATAGAGTATGGTGGGGGAAAGGGTGGATGCAGGAAACCAATTAGGAGGCTGGTGCTACAATCCAGACAAGAGATGATGGTGGTTTAGATCAGGGTGGTAGTGACAGAGGCAGTGAGAAACATTCTGATTGGAGGTATGTTTTCAAGATGAATTAGTTAGAATTACTGTTGCATTGGATGGAGAGTATACAGAAAGAAATGAGTCAGGTAAGCCCCAGATTTTTGGCTTGAGCAGTTGAAAGTTATGGAGATGTCATTAATTGAAATGGAAAAAAGTGTAGGTGAAGCAGGTATTTTTGTTTGTTTTCTTCAGGTTCAGTGGGTCTTGGAGTTCTGTTTTGGACAGGTGTAAACTGAGATGCCTGTTAGATCTCCAAGTGAGTGTTGAAGCAATAGTCAAGAGTTGAGTGGAGAAGTTGGGCTAAAGATAAAGATTGCAAACTTGTTGGCGTTAGATGGTGCCTAAAGCTGTTCTACTGAATGAGATCACCTACAAAGTGAGAATAAATTAGGATTTTCCACTTCTGTACTATATCGTCAGCTAAGTCTTCATTGTGGGGGGCTGTCCCATATGCTGTAGGGTGTTAAACAGCATTCCTGGCCTCAACCCTCTGCATACCAATAGTACATAGTATATATAGTTATATAGTTATGATAACCAAAAATATCTCTAGATATTGCTTAATATCCTGGGGAGTGAGGCAGAATCATCCCCCGTTGAGAGCCACTTGAGTAGAGTGGTCTGGGACTGAACCCTGGGGCAAGCCAATGTTTAGAATGAGGAACCAGCAAGGAGCCCAAGAAGGAATAACTGAAGTGGGTGTTGAACAAAGAATGTGGCATCCCAGAAGCTAAGGGAAATACTTCAAGGAGGGAAGGGGGAGAGTGAAAAACCTGTCGATGTGGCATTTAAGCCAGGCAATTTGAGAAATGAAAATTGGCCTTTGCATCATGGAGATCATTGGTGACCAGGTCAGGAATTGCTGCAGTAGTCGTACAAAAGCCTCGATGGAGTGGGTTCAAGAGAGAGAGGAGAGGAGTTGTGAGTATAGAACAGCGCTTTCAAGGCGTATTGCTGTAAGGGAAGTGGAGATATCACATGGTAGCTGGAGAGCAAGGGAGGAACATGGAGAAAATATAATAATATAGTCTGTGTGCAGTTGGGAATGCAGTAGATGCAGTTGAGAGTAATCACTAAAGGAAAGGAATTTGGGGAAATTGAGAAGGTGGAGTATTAGGATAATTGGATATTGTTTGTTCATTTATTTGCTCTTTTTTAAAGTCAAAGTTTCAGTCTGTCACCCAAGCTGGAGTACAGTAGCACAGTCATAGCTTACTGCAACCTTGAACTCCTAGCTCCCATCTCAGCTTCCCAAGTGGCTAGGATTACAGGCGGGCATCACCATGCCTGGCTAATTTTTTTTTTTTTATAGAGATAGGGTCTTTCTATGTCGCCCAGGCTCATCTCGTACTCCTGGGCTGAAGAAATCCTTCTATCTTGGCCTCCCAGGATGCTGGAATTATAGGTATGAGCCGCTGTACCTGGCCCTGATACTGAAATCATTAAGAATTATGGCAAGAGTAGTATGGGAGAGAGTGACAGTGGGCCAGCAGCCAAAATCAACTGCAATGAGCATGGGTAGCAGGTGGTATCTGATTCCATGAGCTTCAGAGCTGAGTGGTTCGGGTAGGAGAGGAGGAACAGTGACCTAGAATGCCAGTGGGGAGCAAGGACATCTGTATTTTTCCCTTGAGGCCCCACTGCAAAGGGCATGGTAGAGAAAACTCTGGGGTCACTGCCCTCACGGGAGATCCAGGATCCAAATTATACCATAAGGCAAGAAAACGAAGGAATTATTCAGAGATGAAATTGAGGATCCAGAAAATTATGCTAATGCCATGAGTTATCAGAAGCAAAGTAGCTCTGGGAAATCATCAGACATGAAAAGGTACTTACATCCTTGGGAGTAGATAAGATGTGCCTTGGAAGAAAGTGTATAGTGAGAGAAGATGATCCAGGATCCAGGTTTGAGGAAATCTAGTCTATATAGGGGTCAGGTCAAGGAGAAGGGGAAGAAATGGACAGGAATGTGGGAGGAAAACTGGGAGAGGGTAGTACCATAGGATTCATGAGAAGAGTTTGTTTTAAAAAGAAAGGCTTCTGTAGTGTGGAGGAAAAAAAAAAGAATAAAAAATAAAAAGGAAGGCAAGATTAAGTATGTGGAATGGTGCTGAGAGATCAAGTAAGAGGGCCAGGCACTGTGGCTCACGCCTGTAATCCCAGCGCTTTGGGAGGCTTAGGCGGTTGGATCATCTGAGGTCAGGAGTTTGACACCAGCCAGGCCAACATGGTGAAACCCCGTCTCTACTAAAAATACAAAAATTAGCCAAGCATAGTGGCAAGTGCCTATAGTCCCAGCTACTCAGGAGGCTGAGGCAAGAGAATCGCTTGAACCCTGGAAGCAGAGGTTGCAGTGAGCTGAGATCACTCCATTGCACTCCAGCCTGGGCAACAAGAGCAAAACTCCATCTCAAAAAAAAAAAGATCAAGTAAGAGAAAGACTGAAGAGTCCACTGGAATTGGTATATTGACTTTGACAAGAAGAGGGTGTGGCAGAGGCAAAAGCCAGATTTAGTAGGCTTAAGAGTAGGAGTGATGTGAGGAAATAAGAGAAAGGTTGGCCATGAAGGGGAATGGAGAGGATGGGATAACTGGATTGTGAGTGAGGGGAGGCCAGAAAACAGCTTATTTGAATGGTGATGGAAGGCCCTGGAAGCAGGAGAGGCAGATACAGGAGAAATATGCAGAGAAAGCCAGAAGTTAGCCTTTAGTTGCTGGAAGAAGCCTTCTTTTTTGGAAAGGATGCAGGTGATACGGTAGATATGGCAATGGGAAATTAAGGCACTCCCAGCAATGCTGCGTGCTATGGTTCTAGACCTACACCCGGCAGAGTTGCACCTGAAGAAGGTTACCTGCATCCCAGCACACTTCTGGTTTTGTTTAAGCACAGTATGTATTGTCATTTCTTCTTCAGGCATGTGATATACCATGAGTTATTTTCTGTCACTTTGAAGCTCTTTTTTTAAGGATTGATAGGTTTTTAAAAAAATTTTTTAAATGGCAGATTCTCAGCTCATTGCAACCTCCACCTCCTGGGTTCAGGCAATCCTCCTGCCTCAGCCTCCTGAGTAGCCGGGATTACAGGCACGCGCCACCACGCCCAGCTAATTTTTTGTATTTTTAGTAGAGACGGGGTTTCACCATGTTGACCTGGATGGTCTCGATCTCTTGACCTCGTGATCCACCCGCCGCGGCCTCCCAAAGTGCTGGGATTACGGGCTTGAGCCACCACGCCCGGCCCTGGTTTTTAAAAATTTTTAACAAAATGTTCTTTTTTTCTGGTTCTGCTTTAAACTGTGTTTTCCACTGGGCTGTGTATTCCTTAGCAAGATCTGATAAATATTAAAACTCTTTTAGCTAGGCTGGGTTTGGTGGCTCACGCCTTTAATCCCAGCACTTTGGGAGGCCAGGCAGGCGGATCATGAGATCAGACCTTCGAGACCAGCCTAGTCTGATATATTTCAGTGCAACAGTCAATGAGAAAGAAAAGCATAAAGTTTTCAAACAAATGTCTCTTTTTTAACAGGAAGACCTCTGGAGATGCATTGGAGCTGGTGGAGGAGTCACTGGACGTAAATCTGTTGAATAATGCTGTTCGCCTAAAATTCCAAAATTGCAATGTCTTACCTGGAGGGGTTTATGTCTCTGAGACTCAGAATCATGTAATAATCCTGATGTTAACCAATCAAACAGTGCACAGGTTACTTTTACCACACCCTTCCCGGATGTATAGGAGTGTAAGTTGGCTAAGTACCATACCTTTTATTTCCCAAATTACTCTGGGTGTCACAGATCAAGTGCTAGAGCAATATCCTTTGGAACCGAAGGAAATTTGGATTCTTGTTATCCCTCACCAAGCATACTTTGATAGTTATCACTTAAAATCATCAGGGATACATTTTAAGTTGAGAATTAGTTTTCATTAAAAAGAATAGCTTTCTTCTTAAGCTTGACAGTTTTTTACTTTAAAAACTTCTTTAGCAATAGAGAGAAACAGCAAAATTCTGGTTATTTTGATTTAATAGATTTTTCTTTTTAATTACTCAACAGGAGTTGGTAGTTGAAAGTCAGATGCAGTCAATATTCACTGACATTGGAAAAGTTGATTTCACAGATCCTTGCAACTATCAATTAATTCCAGCAGTACCTGGAATATCTCCTAATTCTACCACCTCAACAGCCTGGCTTAGCAGTGATGGGGAGGCCCTGTTTGCTTTACCATGTGCTTCTGGGGGAATCTTTGTTCTTAAGCTACCTCCTTATGACATACCTGGTAAGAATGGGAACTGAGCATGGATTTAACTTTAAACAAGGAATGTTAACATTGAAACAGACCTTAAAAGTTCAACCTCCTCATCCAGTGCAGAGATTGCATCTCTTCTGCCCCAGAACTGGTTTGTTTGCCTGATGAGTCCCTAATGCTTTACTTTTATACAGTGGATAAGGAACTATAAAGCATTTGGAGCACGGAAAAACAAATAGACAAGTATAAGGCAGCCTATTCTAAATCCTGTAGTAAAGATGAGTTGCCTAATTATCTGTCCTGAGATAAAGGCATTAAACATCATAATTAAATTAATTGAAACAAAGAAGTTCAATACCCTGCACCAAGTCATACCCTGCACTATGTCTCACCTGGATTATTGCATTAGTTTTCTAAATACCTCCCCAGATCTGTCCTTAACCCTCTTCAGAAACTTCTCAGGTGGACTGATATATTTAAAACCCAAATTGGGTCATATCACTGCACTGTGTAATGCCATCTTTAATGTAGTGTAGTGACATAACCCAACTTTTTTTTCTTTCTTTTGAGATAGAGTCTCATTGTGTTGCTTAGGCTTGGGATGCAGTGGTGCGATCTTGACTCACTGCAACCTCCACCCACCTGGTTCAAGCGATTCTCGTGTCTGTTTCCTGAGTAGCTGGGATTATATGCACCTACTACCATGCCCAGCTAATTTTTGAATTTTTAGTAAAGACAAGTTTCACCAAGTTGACTAGGCTGGACTCGAACTCTTGACCTCAAGTGATCTGCCTGCCTCAGCCTCCTGAAGTGCTGGGATTACAGATATGAGCCACTGCGCCTGGCCAACATGACCCAACTTGGTTTTTAAATATATCATGTTATGCTGAATAAACCCAGAGTCCTTAAACTGGCTTAGAATGACTCACTCCTCTCTCTCTAACTTCATCTGTTCACTCTTCCCCTCCTCTTCAGCCACAGGCCTTCTTGCAATTCCTTGAATATGCCAGGAACACCCCTACTTTGAGGCATTTGTTTGATATAGTCAGCTACTAGCTTGGCTCATTCCCTCAGCTCCTTTAGGTCTTCACTTAATGTCACCTCGTGGAGGCCTTCACTGAACACCCTTTTCAAAACTGCAATGCCCCTGCCTGTCCTCCCTACACCTTGGCATTCTGTGTACTCCTTTTGTGTGTTATTTTTCTCACTTACTACCATTCTACTTAATTTGACTGTCTCCGCTTTTCCCCTTCCCCCAAAGGAATGTAAGTTCCATGAGGACAGGAGTTTTAAAATTTGTTTTGTTTACTGCTATGTCACTAGCATCTAGAACTGTGCCTGGCACATGAAAGGTACCTAGTGATTGTTTTGGAAAGAATAATAAAGTGATTCTGCTGGGTGACAATATGGGTTACAGTCTGTAAAAGGCGAACATTTTCACAAGAAGTATAAAATGTTATTTTGATTGATCTAATAATGATTCAAAATAGTTTATAGGTGTGATATATGTAGGAAAGTTACATCCTAAAACTTTGTTAGTACAGAAATACAGAATCCTGTTGCCTGTTATAAAGACCTTGTTCATGGTTACATCATTCTTGCCTTTGGGTTTCTCTAACTGTGATCAAAAGGTGCCTTGGATATCATTGCAGGTATGGTGTCAGTTGTGGAACTGAAGCAGAGTTCAGTAATGCAACGATTGCTTACAGGATGGATGCCAACAGCTATCAGGTGAGTGGTATCTGGCAGGTAAATCAAAGGGCCCAAGAATTTAATCTTTTTGCACTGGTTGGCAGTTATTGCTTCCAGTCTTATTCCAAGGCAGACATTATACTAAAAAGGAAAATGGTCAGAACAACATCAAATTCTGTCTGAGGAAAGCCACACTCACAATATCCAGTTCAGTGTTCTGCCCTTACTTACCCAAATCCAGTTTTGTGTAAAATTGTTAGAAGTGGAAAGTATTTGATGGCTAAAGGAAAATAATACAAAAGGAAACAGTCTTCCATTGTTATGTAGAGCCTTTTAAATTTTATTATAGTAATTGGTGATAAATCAAATAGAAATGTAATTGTCTTCTACCAGCATATAAGCTCTTGGTCCTCCTGCTAAGTGTGTACATTTATAATTTTATATTTCTTGAATTGCAAATTCTAATGATCAGATTCTTTGCAACAGTAAAACTCTAAGACGGGGCCTTGTGTTTTAGGGGTGACCAGTCGCCTTCAGATCGTCCCCTCAGTCTCGCTGTTCATTGTGTGGAGCATGATGCCTTCATTTTTGCTCTGTGTCAGGATCATAAGCTACGAATGTGGTCTTACAAGGTAAGTGCTACATCTGTAGTTGCTGTGGGTTAAAATATGAGAATTGAAATAAATCTTGCTGTTTCTCTTAAAGATTATCAGATCAGGCGGGGCATGGTGGCTCACACCTATAATCCCAGCACTTTGGGAGGCCGAGGCGAGTGGATCACGAGGTCAAGAGATCAAGACCATCTTGGTCAACATGGTGAAACCCCGTCTGTACTAAAAATACAAAAATTAGCTGGGCATGGTGGCACACGCCTGTAGTCCCAGCTACTCCGGAGGCTGAGGCAGGAGAATTGCTTGAACCCAGGAGGTAGAGGTTGCGGTGAGCCGGGATCGCGCCATTGCACTCCAGCCTGGGTAACAAGAGAGAAACTGTCTCAAAAAAAAAAAAAGATTATCAGATCAGTTGGTTTGGAAATTATTGGTCACTTCCTGATTCAGACAGTTTCATTTAGCTTTATTTTGCATGTATTTTCCTCCTAACTTACTGTCTTTTTATTTGGAAAAATTATCAATCTTACAGGGACACTCAAAGAGTAAGTACAAAGTATACCTTTCACTTTTTTTTATTTTTATTTTTTGAGACAGTCTCACTTTGTCGCCCAGGCTGGAGTGCAGTGACGTGAATACAGCTCACTGTAGCCTCTGCCTCCCGGGCTCAAGTAATCCACCCACCTCAGCTCCTCAAATACCTGGAACTACAGGTGCACACTACCACACAGAGTCTCGCTCTGTCGCAGAGGCTGGAATGCAGTGGCGCAATCTCGCCTCACTGCAATCTCCGCCTCCTAGGATCAAGCAATTCTCCTACCTCAGCCTCCCAAGTAGCTGGGATTATAGGTGTGTATCACTGCACCTGGCTAATATTTATATCTTTAGTAGAGATGGGGTTTCACCCTGTTGGCCAGGCTGGTCTTGAACTCCTGACCTCAGGCGATCCACCCCCCCCTTGACCTCCCAAAGTGCTGGCATTACAGATGTGGGCTACCATGCCCAGCCCATGTTGGCCCTTTTCAAACAAAAACCTATAAGGTCTTTTAGCAGATAAACTAGATAAAACGGTAGATACAATGAAAGGTCCATCCTTTTGAAAGGTATGTTCTTCTAGTCTGAATATTCTTTGAATACCACCTGTTAACTGTTTTCTTGGGCAGGAGCAAATGTGCCTCATGGTAGCTGACATGCTGGAATATGTCCCTGTGAAGAAAGACCTTCGACTCACTTCTGGGACTGGACACAAATTACGGCTTGCTTATTCCCCTGCCATGGGACTCTACCTAGGCATATACATGCATGCACCAAAACGAGGACAGGTATGAAACAAGACATCAGGTTATTTGGTGTGTACTGATGTGGGGAAATGACTGTAGACTCAGTGAGTCTGTTCAAGCTCTTTGCACCAACCTAAATGTGATTCTGAGGTGATGGTTGGGTTTTATGTTACTATGTGAATTAGAAGACCTTAAAGAAGGGGTCAGTATGAAAGGAAGTAGAGAGTTTAAGGCAATATGAAAAGAAAAGTTTACCAAACTAAACAAGAAGAGCAAATTAGGAAGTCTAGGTGAAAAAACAGAATTCCTGAAAGGGATGTAGGTGTTAAGTGGTTAATTTTTCTAAATAAATTTGCTCATCATCCAGACGGTAGCTGCTGTATGTAGATGAGATGTGTAGACTGTGAGGTGATAGGGTAATCATATAATAAACTGCCATTTGTTGGGTATTGTGTGCTTGGTGTTGTGCCAGGCCCTTTATGGACATTAATAATAGCAAACACTTGGATTGTGCTTATTCTGGGCTCATACACATTATGCATATTATCCATTTAATCCTAATAGCCCAGTGAGGTAGGATCTGTCTCCCTTACTGTGCAGAAGCTCTGATTCCCCCACTGAGTCCCCGTGCTAGGTCACTGCCCTTCCTGGATGCCCTTTTCACTTCTGTTGGGCTCTCATAGCTCACTCCACATTGCTCCTTTAATGTGGATGCCCTCCTTAATGTGGAGGTGGAGGATAATGGCCTCCACCTCCATCCATGTTTCCACAAAAGACATGATCTGGTTCTTTTTTGTGGCTGTATGTATTCCTGTTTGGGCCCTGAGACCACCAGACTGCCCCCATGCAATGGACCTCCTCCTCACCCAACCTGAGTTTCCATCCTGCACCAAGCTTTCTGTACATGTGGAAGCCCTCTCAAACTGTTCCTACTCCTCCACCCCAAGCCAGGTGGTCCTAAATGTGGACACTCTGCTCAGGTCCTTAGACTCCTGCTTCATCGCACTTGGCTACATCCCCTCTGCATGCATGCCCTTCCCAATCGCCAGTGTTCTCACTTCTGTGCTGGGACGTGCCTGTGCTGATGTTCCCTTCAGCCTGTTCAGACTGACTCCCTGTGCCAAACCCCAGCCCCCAGGTCCCAGACCCCTACCTTCTGGCCAGCAAAGATAGCTACTTTGCTTTAGGTACCTATTGGGTTTTGGACTGGATTGCTCAGGGACAGAATGGAAGGGAAGAGGAGGAGCTCATTCTTGCGGTTTTTTTTCCTAATATTATGGCCCAAAGGTATCATGCTATGAAGACATTTATCTTGATTGCATATAATTAGTCTATTCTCTCTTCTGGGGGACAACCCTTGAACTATTTGAACACACCTGTCCATCTGCCCTAAGTACACTCTTCTCTGTGTGTAGGCTGTGGGTGGTAGGAGAATTGACTCTACTCCGACTTCCTTAGTTCGTTCCATGTTATTCATATAACATCCTGTTGATCACTCTCCTCAACATGTCAATTAGTTTGTCACACTAAAATAGTGGTTCTCAAACTTTTGGCCTCAGAACCCTATTACACTTAAAAATTACTGAGAACTGCAAAGAGCTTTTATTTATGTGGGTTTTATCTGTGGATATTAAACTTAGAAATTAAAACTGGCTGGATGTGGGTTGACACATTTTATTATGCAGTATCTAAATTACTGTTTTGGGGGGTAGTCCCCAAGACCACCTCACCTCCACATCCAGTAATACTCTGAAAGGACTCATAAGGCTCAGTATGTAGTTGTGCTGACAGCTAAGATTTATTACAGTGAGAAGATACAAAGGAAAGTCAGCAAAGGGAAAAGGCACACGGAGTAAAGTCTGAGGCCAGACACAAGCGTCTAAGAGTCCTCTCCTGGTAGAATCTCATAGGACATGCTTAATTCTTCCAGCACTGAACTGTGATGACATGTATAAGGTGTTGTCTCCCAGGAAAGCTTGCTAGAGGCTCAGTGCCCAAGATTTTTATTGGGGGCTGGTCATATAGGGACCCTCTGCCTAGCATGTACCAAATTTCCAGGCTCCTGAAAAGAAAGCAAATGTTCCACATAAACTGCATTGTTTATGCAAGCAGTCTAGACACAGTAAACCATCCTTATCAGTTAGGGAACCATGGGAACACTGCCAACTTTGCAAGCAAGCTTTTCTTTTTTTTTTTTTTAACCTTCTGTAACATCAGAAATTCCGACTCAGCTTTCCCTTTTTTTTTTTTTTTTTTTTGACATGGAGTCTTGCTCTGTTGCTCAGGCTGGAGTACAGTGGCGCAATCTCAGCTCACTGCAACATCTGCCTCCTGGGTTCAAGGAGTTCTCCTACTGCAGATAGCTGGGATTACAGACACATGCCACCATGCCTGGCTTAACTTTTTGTATTTTTTTAGTAGAGCTGGGGTTTTGCTATGCTGGCCAGGCTGGTCTCAAACTCCTGACCTCAGGTAATCCGCCCCTTCAGCCTCCCAAAGTGCTGGGATTACAGGCATGAGCCAGTGTGCCCAACTGCCCTTTTTTTTAGGTTCGGGGTACATGTCAAGCTTTGTCATATAGGTGAATTCATTGTTGAAAAAACTAGTTTTTTGAATGAAGAGACCTTCCAAACAGGCTTTATGTGAGCAACATGGCTTTTTATTCACCTGGGTGCAGATGGGCTAAGGCAGAAAAGGGCTAAGGTGGGATAGGAGTTGGTTTTATAGGTTTGAGTAGTTTTCTGTGGGGGAGGGCGGGAGTGTTGCAGAGTAAGTTCAGTTACAGTGGCAGGGTTGGGTGAGAGGTGTTTACATTATCATAAGAACAGTTAAGATGGCAGGGTTGGGTGAGGGGCTTGTCCAGGGAAGCTTCACTGGGCTGGGCGATTAGGGACAATGGCGAACGCAGGTAGGGAGTGGGAGACGTCAGCTGAGGCAAGCAGGACTTCAGACTTTCAGGCTCCAGGCTTGCATATGGAGACCTGACACTCATGTCATGGGGCTCTGTTGTACAGATTATTACATCATCCGGGAATTAAGCCCAGTACCCAATAGCTACCTTTTCTGCTACTCTCCCTTCTCCCAACCTCCACCCTCAATTAGACCCTGATCTCTGTTGTTTTCTTCTCAGTGTTCATAAGTTCTCATCATTTAGCTCCCATTTATAAATGAGAACATGTGGTGTTTGGTTTTCTGTTCCTGCATTGTTTTGCTGAGGATAATGGCCTCCACCTCCATCTGTGTTTCCACAAAAGACATGATCTTGTTCTTTTTGTGGCTGCATGTATTCCATGATGTATATGTACCACATTTTCTTTATCCAGTCTGTCGTTGATGGGCATTTAAGTTGATTCTATGTCTTTGCTATTATGAATAGTGCTGCAATGAACATTCATGTGCATGTGTCTTTATGGTTTGTATTCCTTCATGTTATATACCCTTTAATGGGATTGCTGAGTTGAATGGTAGTCTGTTTTTAGTTCTTTGAGGAATTGCCACACTGCTTTCCACAATGGTTGAACTAATTTACACTCCCACCAGTGGTTCCCTTTTCTCTGCAACCTTGCCAGCATCTGTTATTTTTTGACTTTTTAATAGCAATTCTGACTGGTGTGAGATGGTAGCTCATTGTGGTTTTGATTTGCATTTCTCTAATGACCAGTGATCTGAACTTTTTTCATATGCTTGTTAGCTGCATGCATCTTCTTTTGAAAAGTGTCTGTTCATGCCTTTTGCCCACTTTTTAATGGGGTTGTTTGCTTTTCTTTTGTATGTTTAAGTTTCATATAGATGTTGGATATCAGACCCTTGTCAATGCATAGTTTGCAAATATTTTCTCCCATTCTGTGGGTTGTCTGTTTACTCTTTTGATAGTTTCTTTTGCTGTGCAGAAGCTTTTAAGTTTAATTAGATCCCACTTGTCAATTTTTGCTTTTGTTGAATCGCTTTTGGTGTCTTTGTCATTAAATCTTTGCTTCTTCATATGTTCAAGATGGTATTGCCTACAGTTGTTTTCCAAGGTTTTTATAGTGTTGGGTTTTACATTTAAGTCTTTAAAATCCATCTTGAGTTGATTTTTTTACATGTAAGGAAGGGGCCCAGTTTCAGTCTTCTCATTTGCCCATTTTTTAATTGGTTTATTTGTCTTTTTTGTCATTGAATTGTAAGAATTCTGTAAACAGGCTGGGCACAGTGGCTCACGCCTGTAATCCTAGCACCCTGGGAGGCTGAGGTGGGCGGATCATTTGAGGCCAGGAATTTGAGAACAGCCTGGCCGGGATAGCAAAACACCATCTCTATTAAAAATGCAAAAAATTAGCCAGGTATGGTGGCATGTGCCTGTAATTCCAGCTACTCGCTAGGCTGAGGCACAAGAACCCCAGAGGCAGAGGTTGCAATGAACCAAGATCGCGACACTGTACTCCTCCATTCTGGCAAGACTATGTCTCAAAAAAAAAAATGATATTATAATCTTAATTTTATGGGGCCACCATTGGATATGTGGTCCATATACCAGAGCATCATCATATAGTATGTAACTATATTATTCTGGATCTAAATCTCTAATCAGATTTATGATTTACAGGTAGTATCTTCCACCATGTAAGTTGTCTTTTCACTTTCTTGATGTTGTCCTATGAAGCACAAGTTTTTAATTATTTTTTCTTTTGTTGCTCTTTTTTTTTTTTTTTTTTTTAAGACAGAGTCTTGCCAGGCACGGTGGCTCACGCCTGTAATCCCAGAACTTTGGGAGACCGAGGCAGGTGGATCACGAGGTCAAGAGATCGAGACCATCCTGGTCAACATGGTGAAACCCCGTCTGTACTAAAAATACAAAAATTAGCTGGGCATGGTGGCACACACCTGTAGTCCCAGCTACTCGGGAGACTGAGGCAGGAGAATTGCTTGAACCCAGGAGGCGGAGGTTGCGGTGAGCCGAGATCAGCAACCAGCCTGGGCAACAAAGTGAAACCCTGTCTCTAAAAAACAGCAAAAATTAGCTGATTGTAGTAGTGGCTCCTTCCCATAGTCCCAGCTACTTGAGAGGCTGAGATGGGAGGATTGCTTGAGCCTGGTTGAGGTTGCAGTGATCCTGATTGCCTCGCTGTACTTCAACCTGGGCAACAGTGAAACCCTCTTTTTAAAAAAAGTTAGTTTTATTACTTCCTTTCTAATCTAGATGCCTTTTCTTTCTTTTCTTTTCCTTCTTTCTTGTGGGTTTTTTTTCCCCCTGGAGGGAGATGGGTACTAATTTTCCTGGCTAGATCCTCCAGCACAATGTTGAAAAGAGTGGCAAGAACCGACATCTTTTTTTTTTTGAAACAAGGTTTCACTCTGTCACTTAGGCTGGAGCGCAGTAGTGCAATCTCAGCTCATTGCAACTTCCTAGTTCAAGTGATTCTCCCACCTCAGCCTCCTGAGTAGCTGGGACTCTGGGCACTTGCCACCATGCCCAGCTAATTTTTGTATTGTTACTGTTTTTTGGTAGAGACAGGGTTTCACCATGTTGATCATGCTGTATGTCTTTGTCTAGTTTCTGATTTTTATTACTAAGGGGGAAGTTGTCAGTGTTTCACCATTGAGTATAATGCTAGCTGTGAATTTTTCTTTTTTTATTGTGATGCAAGAGTGGGCTATGAATTTTTTTGAAACAGTGTCTCACTCTGTCACCCAAGTTGGAGTGTAGTGGTATAATCTCAGCTCATTGCAACCTCCACCTCTCAGGCTCAAGTGATCCTCCCACATCAGCCTCCCAAGTAGCTGGGACCACAGGTGCATGCCACCAGTCGTGGCTAATTTTTTTGCATTTCTGGTAGAGACGGGGTTTTGCCATGTTACCCAGGCTGGTCTCAAACTCCTGGGCTCAAACAATCTACTACCCACCTTGGCCTCCCAGCATGCTTTGGGAATACTGGCCCGAACCATAGCGCCCAACCTGAATTTTTCACAAGCATCCTTTATTGTGTTGAAGGGTTTCCCCTTTATTCCTAGTTTCTTGAGTGTTTTTCTCATGAAACGGTGCTCAGTTTGGTCCCACTGCCTTCATCCATGTAAAGACACCAGTAATTTTATCCACCGTTGGTCTTGCATCATTGATGCAAATATCAACAAAATGAAAAAGGCAAATAATGTGGTATTATTATGAAAAGGGTTTGGGCCAGGTGCGGTGGCTGCCTGTAATCCTAACACTTTGGAAGGCCAAGGCAGACAGATCACCTGAGGTCAGGAGTTTGAGACCAACCTGGCCAACACTGTGAAACCCCGACTCTACTAGAAATACAAAAATTAGCCGGGCGTGGTGGCAGGTGCCTGTAATCCTAGCTACTTGGGAGGCAGAGGCAGGAGAATTGCTTGAACCCATAGGGTACAGGTTGCAGTGAGCCAAGATGGTGCCATTGTACTCCAGCCTGGGCAACAAGAGTGCAACTCCATCTTAAAATTAAAAAAAAAAAGAAAGAAAAGGGTTTTGACATCATTGACCCCCTCACATGATCTCAGGGACCTCTAGGAATCTGCGGACCACATTTTGAGAACTACTGCTCTTAAAGGTCAGATCTGGAATTGAATGTTCAGGAGTGTGTCAAATTGAGCAGAACTATTACTTCCTTTGTTTTGAGCATTATGATTCTTCATTGAAGCCAAAAATCAGAATAACTTTTTTGACAGCTATGTAACAGTGCTAGTCTAATCAGATTATAGTGAACTTGTAGTATTTTTTTTTTTTTTTGCTTCAAAAAAACTGATCTTCGGCTGGGCATGCTGGTGCACACGTATAGTTTTAGCTACTCAGGAGGCTGATGCAAGAGAGTCATTTGAGTTCAAGAATTTGAGCCCTGCCTGGGCTGTTGATTTTTGTTTGTTTAATGTTGTTTGAGACCTGCTAAATTGATTTTATGTTCCACTAATGGATTGAGATCTGTAGGTTGTAAAACATAGGTTCAGGGTAGAATGGATATAAGCACTACGTATTTTTTTTTATATTTCATGCACTACTTTTTTTCTCCAAAGGGAATTTTGCAACTTTTTTTCGTTAATACTTCTTTATGAACAGTTGCATATAAGTAAAGGGTCATCACTCTATCAATTTACAGTAAATTTTCTTTATCAAAACAGTTATTTAGGCTGGGCTTAGTGGCTCATGCCTATAATCCCCACACTTTGGAAGGCCGAAGTGGACGAATCTCCTGAGGTCAGGAGTTTGAGATCAGCCTGGTTAACATGGTGAAACCCCGTCTCTATTAAAAATACAAAAATTAGCCAGGATGGTGGTAGGGACCTATAATCCCAGCTACTTGGGAGACTGAGGCAGGAGAATTGCTTGAATCCATGAGGTAGAGGTTACAGTAAGCCAAGATCACAGCACTCCAGCCCGGGCAGCAGAGTGAGACTCATCTCCAAAAAAAAAAAAAAAAAGTTATTTATAATATTCATCAAGCCAGGTACTGTAGCACACTCTTAGAGTCCCAGCAGTTTGGGAGGCCAAGGCAGAAGGATCACTTGATACCAGGAGTTTGTGACTAACTCGGGCAACATAGTAAGATTCCATCACTACAAAAATAATAATAATAATAATAGAATTAGCTGGGTGGAGTAGCACGTGCCTGCATTACTAGCTATTTGGGAGGCTAAGATAGGAAGATAGCTTGAGTCCAGGAGTTGGAGGTTAACATTGAGCTACGATCATGTCACTCTACTCCAGCTTGGGTGACAGAGTAAGTCCTGTTTCTAAAAATAAAAACAAATATGAATAAGTCTTTTACCACAGTGAGATAATCACCTCACACCTATTAGAATATCTACAATTTGAATAAATGAATGAATGAAAAAAAAATAAATGTGTGTCTTCGCGAGGATATGGAGCAATTAGAACTGTTTTGTCGTTGTTGAGAAATTAGAACTCTTGTGCATTGCTAGTGGGAATGTAAAATGCTACAGCCATTATGGAAAACAATATAGTGGTTCCTCAAAAAATTAAACATAGAGTTATCATATGATCCAGAAATTCCACTTTTGTGTATACATTCCCAAAAGAATTTAAAGCTGGGTCTCAAACATATATTTGTACAACCATATACATGGTAGCACTATTCACAATAGGCCAAAAGTTAAACCAACCCAAATGTCCATCCACAATGAATAGGTAAACAAAATGTTGCATGTATGTACAGTTGAATATTTCAGTTTTTAAAAGGAAGGAAATGTTGACACATGCAACTAAATAGGCAAACCTTGAAGGCATTATGCTAAAGTCATAAATCAATCACAAAGAGACAAATATTACATGATTCTACTTATATGAAGTACCTAGAGTAGTCAAATTTATAGAGATAGAAAGTAAAGTGGAGGTTATTGGGGCTGGGAGTGAAGGGAAATGGGGAATTATTTAATGAATGTAGAATTTCAGTTATGCCAGGTGAAGATGAAAAGCATCCTAGAGATTGATTGTACAACAATGTGAATATACTTAACACTGCTAAAAATAGTTAAGATGGTAAAATTTGATGTTATGTGTATTTTACATTAAAATAAAGTGGTTCTACCTGGCCTGTGTGGGAGAAAAAGAAAAAAAAAATTTTTTAAAGGTTCTTGAATGCTAATAGCCCGTGCTTCAAAAAGCAACAAGTTGATATTTCAGATAATAAATTATCATCTCATATTTTAACAGTTCTGCATTTTCCAGTTGGTGAGCACTGAGAGTAACCGCTATAGTCTAGATCACATTTCTTCACTATTCACTTCTCAGGTAAGTTGATTGATCCTTTGCATATCACATGAATACAAGAAAAAGAAGTACTGGCTAACTCTGTTATAGTATCATGGGACTGTAGTCTTAAAATGGACTATTTCATGATATATGAAACAAAATTTCATTTGGACTAAACCAAATTCACGTGGTACAATGTTTTCTTTTCATGCATTTACCTCTTCTACTGATGAAAATGTAAGTCACCATGAATTACTACTTTCTTTCTTATTTTATCCCTTTTTTTCCCCACATTTCCTCCTAGGAGACACTGATTGACTTCGCCTTAACTTCCACGGATATCTGGGCCCTGTGGCATGATGCTGAGAACCAAACAGTTGTGAAATACATCAACTTTGAACAGTATGGGTTACTTCATTATGTCATCCTACCTCATCCCAAGCAATTTTATGCCAAGAAGACAAGAGGCTGGGCACCATGGCTCATGCCTGTAATCTAACACTTTGAAAGGCCAAGGCGGGCCGATCACTTAAGCTCAGGAGTTTGAGCCCAGACTGGGCAACATGGTGAAATTCTGTCTCTACTAATAAAAAAAAATAGCTGGGCCTGATGGCAGATGCCTGTAATCCCAGCTACTCAGGAAGTGAGGCTGTGGCATGAGAATCACTTGAACCCAGAACCTAGGAGGTGGAGGTTGCAGTGAACCAAGATGCACCACTGCACTCCAGCCTGGGCGACAGAGTGTGACTGTGTCTCAAATAAATAAATAAATAAATATAATAATTTAAAAAAAAAAAAAAAAAAAAAGGCCAGGCACAGTGGCTCACACCTGTAATCCTAGCGTTTTGGGAGGCCAAGGTGGGCGGATCATGAGGTCAGGAGTTCAAGACCAGCCTGGCCAACATGGTTGAAACCCTGTCTTTACTAAAAAGACAAAATTAGCCAGGTGTTGTGGCCAGTGCCTGTAATCCCAGCTACTTGAAAGGCTGAGGCAGGAGAATCACTTGAACCCAGGAGGTGGAGGTTGCAGTGAGCCAAGACTGCGCCACTGCACTCAAGCCTGGGTGACAGAACAAGACTCTGTCTCAAAAAAAAAAAATGTTTTTAATAATACTGATCATTGCAGGGATTCAGTGATGCCCCCCCATCCCAGATATTGCCAACGGCATGTGTTTCATTTTTATTGTTCATTTCTGTATAAACTGGTGGACTTCCTTTGTCTCTAGTAATGTTGCAGGTCAGTGGAATCCAGTTTTTATGCAGCCTCTGCCAGAGGAAGAGATTATCATCAGAGATGATCAAGACCCCAGAGTAAGTAAATGGTCAAGTGTTGTATAAGGTTATGATTTACCTTGAGCTTTTTTTTTTTCTACAGAGAGAGTTGGTCAAAATCATTAGGCAGTGTGAGATTTTCCATGTTATTCTCTCTACTTCATTTCCCTACTTGTGAGAGTTTATTGCTATTTATTTTGTTTTGTATTGTTTGTATATAATATCTATTATTACTGGTTCCATTTCTTTTCCATGTGAGCCATAAATGAATACTGTGGTAGATGGTGTAGAAACCAGCTTCCTTTACTTGTTCTCTTACCAATATATCGCCAATAAACTAGATTTGCTTCTTCCATTTAAGATTGGCATTTGACAAAGCTCTTTTCTGCTGGAACCCAACGAAGCTCTCCATGAGGAGCACACCATTTTCAGTGTAGTACCTCCAGCTGACTCAAAGACATTGCAGTCTTCACTTTCCGTGTGAAAACATGTAACTGTTATTGCCCAAATATAGAAGGGCAAAATGGCCATGTTCATATCATAGAAACTCAAACTTTGGTGTTACGTGTTGGATTCCAAATTTTGTTTAGGACGATAGTAACTTTTGTTTTAATGTTCTAACAGGAGGTATATCTGCAGAGTCTTTTTACACCAGGACAATTCACAAATGAAGCTTTATGTAAGGCTTTACAGGTCAGCCAAAAAAAAAAAAAAATTTACTGTTTATTTAAGACTATTTCTTATTTTATTACCATACTATATAATTAATAATTATCAAGATTTTACGTATATTAAACACTGAGCATACTTCTGTATTTATACGTATGTGTGAGTTTGTAAATACTTTTATAATTCTTTTAATGTTCTTTCCATTAAATGTTATATATTCCTGGTGAAGAGGTAGAGGGTAGGAGGAGGGACCACTTTCCCAATAATCAGTGAGTCATGCCAGAGGTATAAAATGAAACCTGTGCCTACAGTATTGGAAAGATACCACACTATACTGCATATAATCCCTGTACTTGAGAAAAATTTAAAGTGGTTTCTCATTTAGTTTCGATTATACTGTTTTAACATTTTTGTTAGGACAGTGAAGGTCTGACTTGGTTCTGATTCAAGAAAACTCTAACTTCAGAGCCATATTATAAGAGAAGCCCAGTGCTTTACAAAAGGATTATTTGGCCAATAATGGTGACTCACACCTGTAATCCAAAAATATTGGGAGGCTGAAGCAGGAAGATTACTTGAGCCCAGGAATTTGAGAGCAGCCTGCGCAACATAGGGAGATCCCATCTCTAAAAAAAAAAAGAAAGAAAGAAAAATAGCCAGGTGTGGTGACATGTACCTGTGGTCCCAGCTACTCAGAAGGCCTAGGTGGGAAGACTGCTTTAGCCCAGGAGGTACAGGGTACAGTAAGCCTTGATCATGCCACTGCATTCCAGCCTGGGAAGCAGAGTGAGACCCTGTTTTTTTAAAACAAAACTAAACAAGAAAGGATTTTTTTAAGGTTGCAAAGGCTTTTGGCCAGGTGCAGCGGCTCACGCCTGTAATCTCAGCACTTTGGGAGGCTAAGGTGGGCAGATTGCTTGAGCTCAGAAGTTCAAGACCAGGCTGGGTAACATGGCAAGATTCCCTTCTTTACTAAAACAGCAACAAAAAAGTTAAAAAGTTGCACAGACCTTTTTTTTTTTTTTGAGGCAGAGTCTCGCTCTTTTGCCCAGGCTGGATTTCAGTGGCACAATCTTGGCTTGCTGCAATCTCTGCCTTCCGGATTCAAGCAATTCTCCTGCCTCAACCTCCTGAGTAGTTGGGGTTACAGGCACGTGCCACCATGCCTAGCTAACTTTTGTACTTTCAGTAGGCAGGGGTTTCACCATGTTAAGCACGCAGGTTTCAAACTCCTTGCCTTAAGTAATCCATCTGCCTCGGCCGGCAAAGTGCTGGGATTATGGGCGTGCACCACCGCACCCAGCTTCCACGGGCTTCTTTAAACTGCTACTTAGTTTTGTGAGTGGATTTAAAATACAGTAATTCATATAATTGAAAGGTATATTGGAATCTTCTAGTCTGACCTCTCACACAAAACAGAAATGCCTTCTGAGGTTTTTCTGATAGATATTCAACCTTTAATTGTCTCTACCTCCAGTGACTAGTTTCTCACTGGAGTTATTACTCCCTAACTGTGCCATTTAAAAGGAAGCCTGCATCCTTTTGGTGGCTTCTTTCTTTTGGAAGTTTATAGAACATGTCTCTCTTCTATAAATCAACCCTTCAGGTATTTTAAGAATCTTTCCAGGTCATCTTTCTCCAGACTAAATACACCCAGTTTCTTAACTTTCTGTCAGGTGATGAGTGTTCCACGTATGCCACATCTCTGTTTTACAGTTTTACATTGCCTCCATGTCTTCTAAACTGAAATATTCTTCATTCAGTTTTGGCTGTTATATAGAAGTCTAAAGTGTGTCTTTTAATGTTAGATTTTCTGCCGAGGAACTGAGAGGAATTTGGATCTTTCCTGGAGTGAACTGAAAAAAGAAGTTACTTTAGCTGTTGAAAGTGAGGTGAGGTTTGGGTAGAGAAAGAATAAGAATTCCTTCCATCTTGATATAGGGCAGATTGGTACTGAAGAATTATTGGAATTCTTCACTTGACCTTGTTCATTGGAAGTATAAATGTTCAAACCTTTTAACTAGAGAATTAGATATACATTTGGATAGTCTATGGCCTTTATAATACATAAGGAATATTCATTTGGCTGTAGCTTAGTATAATGATATTGGACAACTATATTTTTTGTGGACAAAGATCCTGAGTGGCATCAAGAGTTTAATTTATTTCATTTCTTCTTTGCCAGCTTCAAGGAAGTGTAACAGAGTATGAAGTCTCCCGGGAGGAGTTTCGAAATTTACAACAAGAATTCTGGTGCAAGTTCTTTGCCTGTTGTCTTCAGTATCAAGAAGCCCTCTCTCATCCTCTTGCCATACATTTGAATCCACACACAAACATGGTGTGCCTGCTGAAAAAAGTAAGGGAGCTGAAGCATAGAGAGAACTTCTTTAGACAGTTCAGCGGGTATTCTAACAAGATGCCTTCAGAAAAAAAATTGAGTGGCTCTTGCAGAATGTTAGTCTGGTGAATGTTGTGGTTAACTTTTAGGACTTGCATTTGTAATTTTTTTCCCTAAAATTGTAATTCATTCATTTGAATAGTATTCTGTTATTATCTATACTTTTTTTTGCATTTATTTTATTTACTTTTTATATTGAACCAATTTCCAACTTAAGAGTTACAGGAATAGCACAAAGAATTCCTATATACCCTTCACCTGAATTCATTTGTTCACTTCCATTTGCTTTTCGTCATTCTCTAAACATATTTTTTTCCTGAACTACAGAAAAGTTAGTTGTAGATCTCATACTCCTTTATCCTTAAATGTTTCAGCATATATCTAAGAACAAGGATATTAAATAACCACAGCTCAATTTAAAAGTCAGGTTATTGACATAATACTATACAGTTTATATTCAGATTTTGCCAAATATAATGTATAGTTTGTTTATTTATTTATGTATTTATTTTTTGAGACGGAGTTTCGCTGTTGTTACCCAGACTGGAGTGCAATGGCTCGATCTCAGCTCACTGCAACCTCCACCTCCTGGGTTCAAGCAATTCTCCTGCCTCAGCCTCCCGAGTAGCTGGGACTACAGGCGCGTACCACCATGCTCAGCTAATTTTTGTATTTTTAATGGAGGCGGGGTTTCACCTTGTTGACCAGGATGGTCTCGATCTCTTGACCTCATGATCCACCCGCCTCGGCCCCCCAAAGTGCTGGGATTATAGGCGTGAGCCACCACGCCCGGCCAATATATAGTTTATATTAAGAATTTTGCCAGTTGTGCCCATATCTTTTCTTCCTGATCCAAGATTCAATCTTTTTTTTTTTTTTCCCCCCTGAGACAGAGTCTTGCTCTGTCGCCCAGTTTGGAGTGCAGTGGCACGATCTTGGCTCACTGCAACCTCCACCTCCCAGGTTTAAGCAATTCTCCTGCCTCAGCCTCTCGAGTAGCTGGGATTAGAGGTACACACCACCACGCCCAGCTAATTTTTGTATTTTTAATAAAGACAGGGTTTCACCATGTTGGCTAGGCTGGTCTCGAACTCCTGACCTCATGATCTACCTGCCTTTGCCTCCCAAAGTGCTGGAATTTCAGGCATGAGCCAACACACCTGGCTTTTTTTTTTTTTGACCGTGTCTTACTCTGTTGCCCACTGCAACCTCAGCCTCCTAAGTTCAAGCAACCTCTTGGCTCACTGCAGCCTCCACCTCCTGAGTTCAAGCAGTTCTTCTGCCTGAGCCTCCAGAGTAGCTGGGATTACAGGTACACCACCACATCTGGCTAATTTTGTAGTTTTAGTAGAGACGGAGTTTCATCGTGTTGGCCAGCCTGGTCTCAAACTCCTGGCCTCAGGTGATCCACCCACCTCAGCCTCCCAAAGTGCAGGATCCAATCTAATATCTTATATATATTTAGTTATTATGTCTCTTTAGCTTAATCTCAAACTGTTAGCAGCATTTGTCATTCATGAGAATAACATTATTTGAAGACTACACTTGTTTTGTTTGTTCATTTGTTTGTTTTTTGAGGCTGGGTCTCCCTGTGTCACCCAGGCTGGAGTGCAGTAGCACTCTTAAGACTCACAGCAGCCTCAACCTCCCAGGCTCAAGTGATCCTCCCACCCCGACTTCCCAAGTAGCTAGGACTAAAGCTGCGTGCCACCACACTTGACTAATTTTTTTTTTTTAAGAGATGGGGTTTCATCATGATACCCAGGCTGGTCTTGAACTCCTGGGCTCAAGTGATTCTCTCACCTTGGCCTCCCAAAGTACAGAATTACAGGTGTGAGCCACTGTGCCCAGCCAAGACTACACCCATTGTTTTATAGAGTGTATTTCAACTTGGGTTGTCTTGTGTTTCCTCATGATAAGATGCACATCTCGATTATTTTATACCTTTAAAAATTTACTGAAAAAAATGTAACTGGAAAATTTGTATTTCTAGGGGTACCTGTCTTTCCTTATTTCCTCCTCCTTAGTGGATCATTTGTATCTCCTGCCTTATGAAAACCTTTTGACAGAAGATGAGACAACCATATCTGACGGTAATAGTAATTGTTATGTCCATACTTAATCTTCTTTCTATATAAACCTAATGCTTCATTTCACACAGACACAAAAAATATTGATTGCTACAATGACGTGCCTTGATCACTTTACCACCCCACAAATATTTTAATGAACACCTAAGAGACCTAAGCATCTCTGAGACCTTAGATTTCTTGTCATTTAATTACAAACATTTTAATGTATTATCAATCAGTAGATTGTCATTGGCTTAAGACATGAATGTTAACTTTCTCTTATTTGTAGATGTGGATATCGCTCGGGATGTCTTATGTCTTATAAAATGCCTGCGGCTGATTGGCGAGTCAGTAACTATGGATATGTCAGTTACAATGGAAACGAGTTGTTATAAAGTACAGTCTCCGGAAAAGGCTGCAGAGCAGATTCTGGAAGATATGATCACTATTGATGTGTAAGGAGAATTTAGGGTAAAGTGCGCTTCCTAATGGAAATTCAGCAATGTTTAGCACCAAAGTTGGGTTTTTAATGTATTCAAGAGTGTTCGAAGTAGTAGCTTAAAGTCAAACTGATGTACTATGATTCTAAATAGATATTTCAACTTTTTTTTTTTTTTTTTAAGAGACTGTTTTACCTTGTTGGTCAGGCTTCTTTCGAACTCCTGACCTCAGGTGATCCACCTGCCTTGGCCTCCCAAAGTGCTCGGATTACAGGCGTGAGCCACCACGTCCGGCCTGCATATTTCAACTTTGAACGGAAAATCTAACACATGACTTCAAGTCTGGAAATAGACTCAAAATAATATGGTTTAACAATTAACTGAGCTTAAAATTCTAAAAAGCAAAAGTGTTCCTCTCACATTTGTTGTGTTGTTTTTGAAAAAAAAAAAAAATGAGAGGAAATTTTTTATGTAGAGGGAATGTATCTTGTATGCCAGAGTGATTATCTTCATTCCTTTATCTGGTTCTCTTGTTTCATAATGTATTTAGCTTATAGGACATATAGAACTTGTCTTAGGTATTCTCGGTAGTAATAAGAATTTTGTAATTGTCATTATAGAGAAAATGTGATGGAGGACATTTGTAGTAAACTGCAAGAGATTAGGAACCCAGTCCATGCCATTGGGCTACTTTTACGGGAAATGGATTATGAAACAGAAGTGGAAATGGAAAAGGGATTCGATCCAGGTAAATGACAGAGCAACAAATGTGCGTCTTAGATTAAAACAATGATATATTCAGCTCCATTTTTCTTCTCTTTACAGCTCAGCCTTTGAATATTCGAATGAATCTTTCCCAGTTCTATGGTAGTAGCACAGCAGGGTATATTGTGTGCAGAGCTGTGCATAAAATCGCCAGTACTCGTTTCCTAATCTGCCGAGACCTTCTGGTCTTACAGCAGCTGTTAATGAGGCTTGGAGATGCAGTAAGTACTGCTTGAGGGAAAACTTGTAAAATCTAAAACCTGATATAGGCCTACAAGCACTTAGCAGCAAAATGTCAGCCCTACTAGCACAGATGCTTTTGTCTTGGTTCACTGCTTTATTCCCCAAGCTTGGCTCTATGAGGTGCTCTATAAATATTTTTGAATTAACAATGAGTAAGCATTTTAATCCTTGTGAGATTATAGATTAAGAATATATGTGGAAGAGGTGGTGGGGAGGGAGAACATCAGGAAGAATAGCTAATGGATCCTGGGCTTAATACCTAGGTGATGGGTTGATCTCTGCAGCAAACCATCATGGCACATGTTTACCTATGTAACAAACCTGCATATCCTGCACATGTGCCCTGGAACTTAAAAGTTCTTTTTTTTTTTTTTTTTTTTTTTTTGAGACGGAGTTTCGCTCTTGTTACCCAGGCTGGAGTGCAATGGCGCGATCTCGGCTCACCACAATCTCCGCCTCCTGGGTTCAGGCAATTCTCCTGCCTCAGCCTCCCAAGCAGCTGGGATTACAGGCATGCGCCACCATGCCCAGCTAATTTTTTGTATTTTTAGTAGAGACGGGGTTTCACCATGTTGACCAAGATGGTCTCGATCTGTTGACCTCGTGATCCACCCGCCTCAGCCTCCCAAAGTGCTGGGATTACAGGCTTGAGCCACCGCGCCCGGCCAAAAGTTCATTTTTTAAAAACAAAGAACATATATGAAGCAGATTGCTTTACTCTTAACCTTTGTATGTGTAGTAGTGGGAAATTTTCCCAGGTTGGCGCTCCCAAAATGTAGTATTACTAGTAACTATGAATGTGATAAAAGTCCCTTTAGTATGGAAGAAGAAGAAGAAAACTCTATTTCTTCTCTCTCTTTTTTCCTTTTTAAAAAAAATTTTATTTATTTATTTATTTTTGAGACAGCCATCTCACTCTGTCACCCAGGCTGGTGTGCCGTGGCCTGATCGCAGCTCACTGCAACCTTCGCCTCCTGGGTACAAGCAATTCTCCTGTCTTAGCCTCCTGAGTAGCTGAGATTATAGGCGCGTGCCATCACACCTAGCTAATTTTTGTGTTTTTTGTAGAAACGGGGTTTCACCATTTTGGCCAGGCTGGTTTGAACTCCTGACCTCAGGTGATCCACTCACCTCAGCTTCCCAAAGTGCTGGGATTACAGGCGTGAGCCACCTCCCCTGGCCTAAGAATTCTCTGCAGTGCAAGGCTTACCTTAAATACAATTTTGAGCTGCAAGTTTTTCTTTGTGGTCCTCCTAACTCCTAACTCAGTTAATATAAAAATATAATTTTTATATTTTTAGTAGAGATGAGATTTAGCCATGTTGCCCAGACTGGTCTCAAACTCCTGGCCTCAAATGAACCACCTGCCTCAGTCTCCCAAATTGCCAGGATTACAGGTGTGAACCACAGTGCCTGGCCGCTTTCTATACATCTTTAATTATATCTCTAGGATAAGTTCTAAGAACTAGAATTTGATTGGTCTGTAGGTTATGCACATTTTTAAGGCTTTTGGTAGTACTGCCAAATTTGCTTATAATGGTCATACCTATTTTTACCCAACACCAGCAATATATGAGAGAACTTAAATTTCCCTGTGTCTCTTCAATTCTTTTTTTTTTTTTTTTTTGTGAGACAAGATCTTACTTCTGTTGTGCCCAGGCTGAAGTGTAGTGGCTATATCTTGGCCCACTGCAGCCTTGATTTCCTGGGCTCAGTTGATCCTCCCACATTAGTCTCCACAGTACCTGGGACTACAGGCACATGCCACCAGGCCAGCTAATTTTTGTTTGTACTTTTAGTAGAGATGGGGTTTCACCATGTTGTCTAGTCTGGTCTTGAAATTTTGGGCTCAAGTGGTCTGCCTGCCTCAGCCTCCCAAAGTGCTGGAATTACAGTTATGAGCCACCATGCCCGGCTCTCTTCTTTAATTCTGAACCCACAGTTTTTGTTTGTTTGTTTGTGTGTGTGTGTGTGTGTGTGTGTGTTTTGAGACAGAGTTTTACTCTTGTTGCCCAGGTTGGAGTGCAGTGGCACAATCTCAGCTCACTGCAATCTCTGCCTCCCAGATTCAAGCGATTCTCCTGCCTCAACCTCTCGAGTAGCTGGGATTACAGGAATGCACCACCACACCTGGCTAATTTTGTACTTTTAGTAGAGATAGGGTTTCTCCATGTTGTTTGGACTGGTCTCAAACTCCTGACCTCAGGTGATCCGCCTGCCTTAGCCTCCCAAAGTGCTGGGATTACAGGCGTGAGCCACCATGTCTGGCTCTGAACCCACAGATTTAATGAAAGTTAAGCTTTTCATTGTTGGTTTCTTTTCACCATCAGCTTCCATTATTTGGTGAGCTGTTTTTGATTATTTTCAGACTTAATTTTTGGGAAGATATTTTGCCACTTGCTACCATAAAATGCAAAACATGTCGCTTTTACAGTATTGTAAACTTTGTATTTATTTTATTTTACTTCCACCTGAGCCATAAGAGTTACTGTTACTAATTGCTATTATTTCTTGTCCTATCCACCCACCCATAATATATAGGTGATTTGGGGAGCTGGTCAGCTTTTTCAAGCTCAGCAAGACCTACTGCATAGAACAGCTCCTCTACTCTTATCTTACTACCTCATTAAGTGGGGAAGTGAGTGCTTGGCAACTGATGTTCCATTTGACACACTGTGAGTTTCATTATCCCAATTATTTCAAAAATATATTGCAAGTTTGATTATTTTTCCCATTGTCTTCCAGGGAAACAGTTTTTTGTTTTTTTTGTTTTTGACACAGTCTTGCTCTCTGTCACCCAGGCTGGAGTGCAATGGCACGATCTTGGCTCACCGCAACCTCCACCTCCCAGGTTCAAAGTGATTTTTCTGCTTCAGCCTCCCAAATGGATTACAGGCATCCGCCATCATGCTCAGCTAATTTTTGTACTTTTGTAGGGATGGGGTTTCACCATATTGGCCAGGCTGGTTTCGAACTCCTGACCTCAGGTGATCCACCTGGACCTCCCAAAGTGCTGGGATGACAGGCATAAGTCATCGTGCCTGGCCGGGGAAAAGAGTTTTAACAGTATACTTTGAAATTATATGCTGTTAATATTCAGAGAGCTTTTTGGTGCTCTAATTGTTAGAGGTTGAAGGCAACTTATACAAATGAAAATAATGAGCTACTTGTAACCATAGACCATATATGTATGTATACAGATAGATTATATATATACTTATATATTTGTATGTACAGATAAGTCATGTTGAATGTAACATAATAAGATGAAACCGGAAGGAAAGACCATACACAAAAACATTATGCTGGTTATTTTAGGTAGGCTGAGTTTCTTTATAGCCAAATCCAAGAATCACAAGATTCACTTTTTGTTTGTTTGTTTGTTTTTGAGATAGAGTTTCACTGTTGTTGCCCAGGCTGGAGTGCAATGGTGGGATCTCGGCTCACTGTAACCTCCACATCCCTGGTTCAAACAATTTTCCTGCCTCAGCCTCCCGAGTAGCTGGTATTAGAGGCACCCACCACCATACCCAGCTAATATTTTGTATTTTTAATAGAGATGACATTTCACCATGTTGGCCAAGCTGGTGTTGAACTCCTAACCTCAGGTGATCCACCTGCCTTGCCCTCGCAAAGTGCCAGGATTATAGGCGTGAGCCACCACACTTGGCCAAGGTTCACATTTTCTATAAGATAAACCATCTGTTTGCCCTGGCTCCTCATTGAAGAGTCACTAAGTGATATGATAGGCAACAATATTTTATAATGATTTCAAATTTTCTTTGTGCTTTCAGTGGAGCTCTCATATGCAACATTAATTAAATTGACAGTGTTCTTAGTGGAAGAGCTTATAGAAGTTATGTTTAGGATAGGAGAATTTACCAAGCTGTCTTTTTCCCTTTTCTCACAGGGAGTCTAATCTCCAACACTTATCAGTACTGGAATTGACAGACTCTGGTGCTTTAATGGCAAATAGGTTTGGTAAGGAGTGGACTGTGTACGCATTTGATTTTAAACTGGGGATTTATTGCATATTCATTAAAGTGGTCTTCTGCCACTTTTACCATAGAAAGGTTGGCTAAGCGCTTTGCTTTCAGAAGGCATGAGTAAGCTGTGACGTGAGATCTCTGATTGTCGCATGGGGTCTGTGAAGCTGTAGTACCAGATCAGGCATATGTTAAGTGTATGGTACATACATATGTATATATATATATGGCTGCATTCCCATTCTGTTTTGATGCTCCAGTGATTAATTCAACAAAATCATTTAAAAATGTATTAAGTTCATGTTAACTTTTGTAATCTTGATCAACAGTATCCCTCATGTTTGAAAACCATTATTCTGGAGAATTTATTTTGTATTGTTCTGGTATAAAAGTTGAAATCCTGGGGCTAATTGAAGAATTTCTAGGGAGGCCACTTAGGTGTTGTGGGATCAGTGAAAGAGTGACTAACTTTGATATGAATGGTGTTTTTATTACATTTTGGTAGCACTTCACAGTTTACAAATCACTTTTATTTATATTGCCACTGGATATATACCCATGATACATTTTGTTTTGAAGGGATAAATGTTGTTTGTTATAGGCATAAAATGAATTGATAGACTATTTTAATTGAAAATTCATATTACCACCACACAAGACTGTCGTAACTTTTTCTTTTTAAGTATCTAGTCCTCAGACTATTGTGGAGTTATTCTTCCAAGAAGTTGCAAGAAAACACATTATATCTCACCTCTTCTCTCAGCCAAAGGCACCTCTGAGCCAAACTGGATTGAATTGGCCTGAAATGATTACTGCAGTTACCAGTTATTTATTGCAGCTTTTGTATCCTTTTGTTTAAAAGCCAGTCAAAAGCTCTCTTCTGGCCAGGCATGTTGGCTCACACCTGTAATTCCAGCACTTTCGGAAGTGGAGGTGGGCTTATCAGTTAAGGCCAGAAGTTTGACACCAGCCTGGCCAACATGGTAAAACCCTGTCTCTACTAAAAATACAAAAATTAGCTAGGGATGGTGGCCTGTGCCTGTGATCCCAGCTACTCAGGAGGCTGAGAATCACTTAAACTCAGGAGGTGGAGGTTGCAGTGAGCCAAGATTTCTCCACCATGCCCCAGTCTGGGCGATAGAGTGAGATTCCACCTCAAAAAAAAAAAAAAAAAAAAAAAAAAAGCAGCTCTCTTCTATCTAAATAGTCCAGTCCAGTGCTCTTACTCTGCCTGTATAATGAATTTTAATGAGGTTGAGCACTCACCTCAAGAGACAGTAATATTTATTTTCATATATGATTCCAATTTTTATCTCATGCTTTGTTTTTTGCTCAGGAGTTTAGCAAGATTTTATCAGTGTATACGTTAATAAAAAGTGTAATACCTGGATCTGTTTTGAGACATTATTCATTTTGCTGGGCACAGTGGCTCATGCCTTGAGAGGCCAAGGCGGGCAGATCACTTGAGGCCAGGAGTTCAAGACCAGCCTTACCAACATGATGAAACCCTGTCTCTACAAAAAATACAAAAATTAGTAGGGTGTGGTGATATGACCCTGTAGTCCCAACTACTCAGGAGGCTGAGGCAGGAGAATCACTTGAACCTTGGAGGCACAGGTTGCAGTGAGCTGAGATCATCCCACTGCACTTCAGCCTGGGCAACATATATTTTTAAGAAGTATAATTTTTTCTCTTTTTTAAAAAGAGAAATATTTTTTAATGGCTCTATATGCCAGGCACCGTGTTATGTGCTAGATGTCCACTGGCACCAATACTGTGTTCTGCAGTACACCAAATGAAATTGAAAATGAACACCCAGGAATGAAATACAGGCTTTTTAAAATTTATGTATTTTTAGAGACCGGAATCTTACTATGTTGCCCAGGCTGGTCTTGATTTCTTGGGCTGAAGCAGTTCTCCCACCTTACCCTCCCAAAGTACAGGGATTGTAGGAGTGAGCCACCATGCCTGGTGAAATACATTGTTTACTTCATAGTTACCTGAGTTCTAAGTTGTATGACAGGTTTTCTGGTATAATATGTAACTGTTTCACTATATTTTAGTGACGATGAAAGAACATGTGCTTGGCCACCTTCTCTACCTTGTTTTTGTAAATTAAGCTATTTTGTGAACTTCTCTGAATTTGATGCTCAATGTATATATTTAAGATTTGCCAACAAAAATTAAGGAATCTCCTTAACCAATGACTAGATGGCCTAGCAATCCTGGTTGTCTCTTTCTAGAATGTTTGATGGGAAACTGTCAATATGTACAACTGCAGGTGAGTTCCTTTGAACGTTCACATCTACTCATTCTTGTGAAGCATGGGATTGCTGGAAATTTTTTTCTTTGTAAATGTTAACTGCAGTTTAAAGAACCACAATAATTTAAACTTGATTGTGCAAAGACATACCCCAAAGAGATTGTTCTCTATTTCTATACCATCCTGAACTTGCTTGATCTTGTCTGATCTTAGAAGCTAAATAGAATTGGGCCTGGTTAGTACTTGGCTGGGAGAATACCTGGTTCCATGAGCTTTTTTTTTTTCTATAGGCTTTTAAAGAAAGTAATAAAATACATTTTTAAAGAGATTTTTCTCTATTTCTCTCTTGACAGTATTGCCTAACATGATTTTTTTAGAGTATCTTTTTTTTTTTTTTTTTTTTTTTGAGACAGAGTCTTACTCTGTTGCCCAGGATGGAGTGCAGTGGCACGATTTGGCTCACTGCAACCTCCACCTCCCAGGTTCAAGCAGTTCTCCTGCCTCAGCCTCCTAAGTAGCTGGGATTACAGGCATGTGCCACCATGCCCAGCTAATTTTTGAATTTTTAGTAGAGACAGGATTTCACCATGTTGGTGAGGCTGGTCTCAAACTCCTGACCTGAAGTGATCCACCCACCTTGGCTTCCCAAAGTGCTGGGATTACAGGCATGAACCACCACGCCCAGTCTCTAGAGTATCTTTTTAAGAAATTCTCTCTTTAGGTTTTCTTTATAGTGATACAAATATACTGTGGTTTTTCATATGAATCCTTTACTGGAATCTGGCCATTGAACCAATAAATATCAAAAACTGGAAAATTGCTGAGATATAAAATACATGTATGTGTGTTACTGGATTCCTGTTTGCATAAGGAAACGGAATGGATGAGGAAGGAATGCAACAGGGGTAGGTTTTAATCCTAGAACGATGTCAGGAAATAACATTTGTTCAAACACTATCTTTTCATCCTCTGTGAAGAACTTGGAAATGAGTATCTCCTTAAGTAACATTTATTTTCTAATCAGAAAGCACCTTTTATGCCTTTAAGGATTATATTCAACTGCTACAACCCTGGTGTCAAGTCAATGTTGGTTCCTGTCGATTTATGCTGGGAAGGTGTTACCTAGTTACAGGAGAAGGACAGAAGGTAAACTACATTTAAATGGTAAATAAACTTTAATGCAAGGAAGAGGCTTAGCTTCCATCTGACTAGGTTGTAGGGGATGGGAGACATAGAATCCTCTAGATAAAGTTAAAAAAGACTGTATTAATGTCAGTGAAAGGCATGATATACATGTGAGGACTATTCACTTTCTTGTATTCTGCAATTTAGACAGGACTCAGGAACATAAGAAAACATTAGAACCCTCCTGCCCTGGTATGTTTTTAGGGATTCCTTTCATTATTATTTTGAATGTTATTATTTTGTAGAGTCGGGGTCCACTAATATCACTGTGTTACACAGACAGGCTGGATTCAAGCAATCCTCCCACCTTGGCCTCCACAGTGCTGGGATTACAGGCATAAGCCACGCATATGGCCAGGATACATTGTTTTTTTTTTAACTAGTCAAGTGAAGCAGTGGGAGTGGAGAAGGAACAAAGAAATCTGTAACTGGTTGTGATCAATTAGTTGTAAACACCACTGCACTTGGACCAGCCACAGGATACTTTTTTTTTTTTTGAGACATAGTTTCCATCTTGTTACCCAGGCTGGAGTGCAATGGCACGATCTCGGCTCACTGCAACCTCCACCTCATGGGTTCAGGCAATTCTCCTGCCTCAACCTCCTGAGTAGCTGGGATTACAGGCACGCGCCACCATGCCCAGCTAATTTTTGTATTTTTAGTAGAGACGGGGTTTCACCATATTGACCAGGATGGTCTCGATCTCTTGACCTCGTGATCCACCCGCCTCAGCCTCCCAAAGTGCTGGGATTACAGGCTTGAGCCACTGTGCCCAGCCTAGGAAACATTTTCATAAATCAAATTTATTTACTTATTTTATTTTTTCTTTTAGGGTATCACTCTGTCAGACTGGAGTGCAGCAGCATAATCATGACTCACTGCTGCCTCAACCTCCTGGGCTCAAGCAGTCCTCTCATGTCAGCCTCTCAAGTAGCTGGGATTATCGACACATGCCACCATTCCTGGCTAATTTTTTAATTCTTTTGTAGAGAGAGGTTTTCCCATGTTGCCCAGTCTGGTCACAAATTCCTGGGCTCAAGTGATCTGCCTGCCTCAGCCTCCCAAAGTGTTGGGACTACAGGCATGAGCCACTGCAGCCAGCCCAAATTTATTTATTAATTACATTTTTTTATTGTCTTATGCTGCTTTTTTCTCATTATGGTAGTTTACATTTTTAATTTTTTCCCTGATACTCTATTATTATGTAAATTTTCAAACAAAAAAGTTTAAAGACTTTTATAGTGAACAGTACATACCTAACACTCAAATTCTACAATTGTTCACATATTGCTACAGTTGCCTTATTATGTATGTACGTATCAGTCATCTTATTAAAGTTTACTTTTTTTTTTTTTTTTTTTTTTTGCAGGTGTGGGGCAGTGGGAGAGACAGTCTTGCTCTGTTACCCAGGCTGAAGGGCTGGAGTGCGGTGGCGCAATCTCGGCTCACTGGAGTCTCTGCCCACCAGGCTCAAGCAATTCTACTGCCTCAGCCTCCTGAGTAACTGGGATTACAGGCATGCCCCACCAGGCCCTTCTAATTTTTGTATTTTTAATAAAGGCTAGATTTCACCATGTTGGCCAGGCTGATCTCGAACTTCTGATCTCAAGTAATCCACCTGCCTCAGCCTCCCAAAGTGCTGGGATTATAGGTGTGAGCCATTGCACCTGGCCAAGGTTTACTTTTTAATTGATAGCATTTAAGTTAAATGTGAAATAAATGTTTTTAAATATTAAATAATGCATCACATAGAATTAAAGATGTGTCAGAAACTATGAATATAATAGACCATGTTAAGCAATTTTATTTCTTTTCTGGCTTTCCTTCTGGTATTCCCTGATTTATAGCACCTAGCATTGGAATGATCTGTTGTTTTAAGTCACTTTATATTTTATTTCTCCAGGCTCTGGAATGTTTTTGTCAGGCAGCATCTGAAGTAGGCAAAGAGGAATTTTTGGATCGCTTGATTCGCTCAGAGGATGGGGAGATCGTGTCTACCCCCAGGCTGCAGTATTATGACAAGGTACATTATGTCTTGGTTTGGGCTTTCTTAACACCACCCTGTGTGAAAACATCTGAGTCTGGGGACAGTGGCTCACACATTTAATCCCAGCACTTTGGGAGACCAAGGTGGGAGGATCACAATCAGACAAAAACAATTGAACTTTTCAGGAATGCTATTTGAAAATATAAGTGGCCAGGCGTGGTGGCTCATGCCTATAATCCCAGCACTTTGGGAGGCCGAGGCAGGTGGATCATGAGGTCAAGAGATCGAGACCATCCTAGTCAACAAGGTGAAACCCCATCTCTACTAAAAATACAAAAATTAGCTGGGCATGGTGGTGCCTGCCTATAGTCCCAGCTACTCGGGAGGCTGAGGCAGGAGAATTGCTTGAACCCAGAAGGCGGAGGTTGCAGTGAGCCGAGATCATGTCATTGCACTCCAGTCTGGGTAACAAGAGTGAAACTCTGTCTCAAAAAAAGAAAATATAAGTAAATTGTACCTTGAACCATGAAATGTCGGTTCAAGATAGTATAAAACCATAAACATTTTCAAGGTATTAAGCATTCCAGTCACTGTGGTAAAGTATAAGTCTGTTAGAAGCACTGTGTCTTTGTCTATTGTAATTCCAATTCTAAATATATCCAGAAAGATGTACATACTTCCAAAAGACATGTATCATTTTCTTCCAAGTAGCATGTTTCTACAAGTCATATACAGTCATGTATGACTTAACAGTGGGGAAATGTTCTGAGAACTGTGTCTTTGGATGATAGTATTATTGTGTGAACATCATAGAGTGCGCACCTAGGCTGCATGTCACAGCCTATTGTGTAACATGTTACTGTACTGGATACTGTAGGCAATTTATAATGCAATGTTATTTGTATATGTAAACGTTGAAAGTTAATAGTAACACAGTATAAAAGATAAAAGGCCTGGTGTGGTGGCTGATGCCTGTAATCCTAAAACTTTGGGAGGCCAAGGTGGGTGGATTCTGAGACCAGCCTGGGCAACACAATGAAACCCCATCGCTACTAAAATACAAAAAGTTAGCCAGGCATGCACCTGTAGTCCCTGCTACTCGGGGAACCTGGGAAGCGGAGGTTGCAGTGAGCCAAGATTGCACCGCTGCCCTCCAGCTTGGGCAACAGAGTAAGACTCTGTCTCCAAAAAATATATATATAAAAAAATGGCGCACCTGCATGGCATACTTACCATGAATGAAGCTTGCAGGACTGGAAGTTGCTCTGAGTGAGTCACTGAGTGAGTGGTAAGTGAATGCGGAGGCCTGGGACATTCCTGTACTGTGTGAACACTGTACACTTAGGCTACACTAAATTTAGTTGTTGGGGGGTTTTATTTATTTATGTTTATTTTGAGACACCGTCTCACTGTGTTGCCTAGGCTAGTCTTAACTTTTTGGCTCTTGAATAACACTTACCTTAAAACACAAGCACATTACACAGCTGTACCAAAGTTGTTTTCCTTAGTTTGGGGTTTTTTGTTGTTGTTGTTGTTTTGTTTTGTTTTGTTTTTTGACAGTCTCATTCTGACACCCAGGCTGGAGTGTTGTGGTACAAACAGCTCGCTGCAGCTTCAATGTCTTGGGCCCAAGCAATCCTCCCACCTCAACATCCCAAGTTGCTGGGACCACAGGTGCACACCACTATATCTAACTTTTTTTTTTGTAGAGATGGAGTCTAGCCATATTACCCAAACGGTCTTGAACTCCTGAACTCTGTTTTTTGTTTTTTTATTTTTAATTTTTTTTTTTTTTAAAGACAGAGTTTCACCATATTGGTCAGGCTGGTCTTGAACTCCCAACCTCAGGTGATCCCCCTGCCTTGGCCTCCAAAGTGCTTGGATTACAGGCATGAGCCACCATGCCCGCCTGAACTCCTGAACTCTGCACTTCTCCCAAAGTGCTGGGATTACAGGTGTGAGCCATTGCCCCCAGGCAGTTTTTTCTTTATGTCTTTTTCTATTAAAAAAAAAAAATGGTGGCTGGGCACAGTGGCTCACACCTACAACCCCGGCACTTTGGGAGACCGAAGCAGGCAAATCACTTGAGGTCAAAAATTCAAGACCAACCTGACCATCATGGTGAAACTCCCATCTCTACCAAAAATTGCAAAAATGGGTGTGGTGGCGTGTGCCTATAGTTTCAGCTACTAGGGAGGTTGAGGTGGGAGAATTGCTTGAACCCAGGAGGCAGAGATTGCAGTGAGCCAAGATCACACCACTGCACTCCAGCCTGGGTGACAGAGAGAGTGAAACCCTATCTCAAAAAAAAAAAAGTATTATGTACTTTATGTAAATGTATATGCTATACCTTTTTTTTTTTTTTGAGATGGGGTCTATTGCCCAGGCTGGAGTGCAGTGGCATGATCTTGGCTAACTACAACCTCCACCTCCCAGGTTCAAGCAATTCTTCTGCCTCAGCCTCCCAAGAAGTTGAGATGACAGGTGTACTCCATCATACCCAACTAATTTTTGTATTTTTAGTAGAGACGGGGTTTCACTATGTTGGCCAGACTGGTCTTGAACCCCTCACCTCAAGTGATTCGCCCTCCTCAGCCTCCCAAAGTGCTGGGATTACAGGCATGAGCCACCACGCCCAGGCATGCTATATTTTTTATACAATTGGCAGCACAGTAGGTTTGTTTATACCAATGGCACCACAAACATGTGAGTAATATATTTTATTGCGGTGGCTATGTCATTAGAAGATAGGAATTCTCCAGGTCCATTATAATGGGTGCGGTCGCTCACACCTATAATCCCAACACTTTGAGAGGCTAAGGCAGGAAGATCACTGGAGCCTAGGAATTTGAGATTAACCCAGACAACACAGGAAGACCCCGTCTTAACAAAAAAGTAAAAAATTAGCTGGGCATGTGCTGTATGACTGTGGTCCCAGCTACTCAGGTCGCTGAGATGGAAGAATCACTTGAGCCCAGGAGGTTGAGGCTACACTGAGCTATGATCACACCACTGCATTCTAGCCTGGGCAACAGAGCAGGACCCTTTCTCAAAAAATAAAGTTAATAAACTTTTTATTTTAGCTTCATCCTTTATAAACTTATATTTTGGGTGTATCATACATATATATTAGAAAATCGCATGTGTATAAGATAGGGAAATGTGCACATTTAGGGGCATGTGCAGACGTTGATAGGGTGGACAACCAAAAATGTTTGTCAGGCTGGGCACGGTGGCTCATGCCTGTATTCCCAGCACTTTGGGAGGCTGAGGCAGGTGGATCACCTGAGGTCAGGGGCTCAAGACCAATCTGACCACCATGGCGAGACCCCTAAAAACACACAAATTACCCAGGCATGGTGGCATATGCCTGTAATCCCAGCTACTCCGGAGGCTGAAGCAGGAGAATCACTTGAACCTAGGAGGTGGAGGTTACAGTGAGCCAAGATCGCACCATTGCACTCAAGCCTGATTGACAGAGTGAGACCCTGTCTCAAAAAAAAAAAGGATTATGTCAATCATTTAGCAAATTCTCTTTAGGGTTTTTATAAAACGATGGTGTTATTTACTGTTCTTTACATTCATTTGTGACCTGAACAGTTAGTAGTGAAATTATATTTATTCTTATGTTCAACAATTTTTTTAAATAGAGATGGGGTTAGGCCGGGTGCGGTGGCTCACGCCTATCATCCCAGCACTTTGGGAGGCCGAGGTGGGTGGATCACGAGGTCAAGAGATCGAGACCATCCTGGTCAACATGGTGAAACCCCGTCTCTACTAAAAATACAAAAATTAGCTGGGCATGGTGGTGCGCGCCTGTAGTCCCAGCTACTCGGGAGGCTGAGGCAGGAGAATTGCTTGAACCCACGAGGCGGAGGTTGCAGTGAGCCGAGATCGTGCCATTGCACTCCAGCCTGGGTAATAAGAGCGAAACTCCGTCTCAAAAAAAATAAATAAAAATAAATAAATAGAGATGGGGTCTCACTATGTTGGTCAGGATGACAGGTGTGAGCCACCATACCTAGCCTCAGCAAGTATTTATGGAGAGACTACTGTATACTGGGCACTGAGGATAGAGCTCTGAATTTTGAAAGGACAATTCAGGCTGGATACCGGTGGCTCACACCTATAAACCTAACACTTTGGGAGGCTGAAGCAGGAGTATCACTTGAGCCCAGGAGGCCTGCCTGGGCAATATAGTGAGACCTCATCTCTACAAAAAATAGAAAAAAATAGCTGTGTCTGGTGACATGCATCTGTAGTTTCAGCTATTTAGGATGCTGAGGCAGGAGGGTCACTTGAGCCTGGGAGGTTGAGGCTGCAATGAGCTGTGATTGTGCCACTGCACTCCAGCCTGGGCAACAGAGTGAGACAAAAAAGAAAAAATAGTTCCCTGCCCCCATGCTGCTTACATTCAGGTAAGGAAAGAAGCTAGACAAGTAAATTTAAGTGATAAGTTCTCTGACTAAAACAAAGAGATCAAGAGAATAGAGTAGGAAATATTCAGCTTGTTATGAGATTATCTTGGGAACCATAGAGTGGTAAGCTCTGGAGTCTGGATACTAAGGTTTGAATCTTAGGTCTCCCAACTGTGTGACCTTGGGCAAGTTACTCTGCACCTCAGAGTCTTCATCTGTAAAATCCTCATCAGATTGCTTGGGGAGTGAATATATTAACTGCAAAGTGTGACGCCATGCCTGGCTGGTGATAGGCCTTCAGCATTCAGAGAGCATTTCCTTACACCCCCTCAACTTGAATTGAATGCATGCACATATTAGTACATAAAGTATTAATGACTATGGGGGCCATTTTATTCCTTCGTAACACTGTCAAAAGGAAAGGACAATGAAAAGCCCTGTGTTTAATTCCTCTATTGTTTATTAATAGTCGTTCCTGTAAAAGTTCTATAGAGAACATGTTAGAATTATCTCTTAATTTCAACCATCTCTGTTCCTACCTAACACTAGCAATCACAATTTATCTATAGTTAGAGAGCTATTATTCAATGGTAATATCTGGGGAAACAAGTAGAAAGTTTTTACAAGATGGAATATAACAGAATGATCTAAAGGAAAATCTTAAATATTAACCAAATAATCCCGTCCATCTTGTCAGCGCCTTTGATTTAAACTTTATCTACCTTGTTATCTTTTTTTTTTAATCTTTTTACTTATTTTTTAAGAGACAGGGTCTTGCTGTATTACCCAGGTTAAATTGCAGTGACAGGATTAAAACTCACTGCAACCTTGAACTCCTGGGTTCAAGCAATCCTCCCACCTTAGCCTCCCAAGTCGCTCCAACTACAGGTGTATGCCACCAAGTGCAGCTAATTTTTTTTTTTTTTTTTTTTTTTTTTTTGAGATGGAGTTTCGCTGGTGTTACCCAGACTGGAGTGCAATGGCACAATCTCGGCTCACTGCAACCTCTGCCTTTTGAGTTCAAGCAATTCTCCTGCCTCAGCCTCCCGAATAGCTGGGATTACAGGCGTGTACCACCATGCCCAGCTAATTTTTGTATTTTTAGTAGAGACAGGGTTTCACCTTGTTGACCAGGATGGTCTCGATCTCTTGACCTCATGATCCTCCCGCCTCGGCCACCCAAAGTGCTGGGATTACAGGCGTGAGCCACCGTGCCCGGCCAGTGCAGCTAATTTTCTTAAAAAATGTTTGTGGAGTGCCGGGTGCAGTGGCTCAAGCCTGTAATCCCAGCACTTTGGGAGGCCGAGGCGGGTGGATCACGAGGTCGGCAGATCGAGACCATCCTGGTCAACATGGTGAAACCCCGTCTCTACTAAAAATTACTAAAAATTAGCTGGGCACGGTGGCGTGTGCCTATAATCTCAGCTACTCAGGAGGCTGAGGCAGGAGAATTGCCTGAACCCAGGGGGTGGAGGTTGCGGTGAGCTGAGATCGCGCCATTGCACTCCAGCCTGGGTAATAAGAGCAAAACTCCGTCTCAAAAAAAAAAAAAAAAAAAATGTTTGTGGAGATGGGGGTGTTACTATGTTGCCCAGACTGGCCTTGAGCAATCCTGCTGCCCCAGCCTCCCAAAGTACTGGGATTACAGGTGTGAGCCACCATGCTGGCCTACTTACCTTTCTAAATAATTTTAAACCATAATTTAGTTTGAAGTGCATTACCATATTAGTTTTAACAGAAATTTCTTCTGTTTCTTGTTAGGTTTTACGACTACTAGATGTCGTTGGTTTGCCTGAACTGGTTATTCAGTTAGCTACATCAGCCATAACTGAAGCAGGTGATGACTGGAAAAGTCAGGTAAGAATTGACGATAATTTGGTTGTTTTCTTCAAGGTTTGTTGTGGGTGTGGTATGTTCATTTCTATTGCTCTTTTTGATATTTGATCTACATTTGATACTTAGGCTACTCTAAGGACATGCATTTTCAAACATCATTTGGATTTGGGTCACAATAGCCAAGCATATGAAGCCTTAACCCAGATTTCTGATTCCAGCAGGTAATCTCATGGTCTTTTTTAGAGAGGGCAAATACCAATTCTGTTTAACCTACTAAGACAGTTTGCCCTCATATCCTTTTTTTTCCTTCTAGGCAATTAGATTGTTTACGGCAGCTGGTGGTAGTTCTTTGTGAACGCTCACAGCTACAGGATCTTGTAGAGTTTCCTTATGTAAATCTGCATAATGAGGTAATTTTAGTTATCTGCTGATGGCTTTCAATAACTGGTGGCTGCCATGATTGCTACTGACTTAGTTATCTGATTGCTTCCCCTTCCCTAGGTTGTGGGAATAATTGAATCACGTGCTAGAGCCGTAGACCTTATGACTCACAATTACTATGAACTTCTGTATGCCTTTCACATCTATCGCCACAATTACCGCAAGGGTGAGCAATGTAACCAAACGGTATCTTGGAGACAACCTTATTAATCGTGTTTTACCAAAATATTGTAAGTTAGACTTAGGTCATTTTTAATATGTGTTTAAGTACAAGATTAGCTTAAACCTTTTGAAGATTACCTTGAAGATATGCCCTTGCTTCCATTCTAGAACTTTCTCAAGGCATTGCCATTGAAGCGACATTCTATGTCTATCTTCTATCCAATTATAAAGGAAATGAGTGCCACACGTGGTGGCTTATGCCTTTAATCCTAGCACTTTGAAAGGCCGAGGCAGGTGGACACCTGAGGTCAGGAGTTCAAGACTAGCCGACCAACATGGCGAAACCCCATCTCTACTAAAAATACAAAACTTAGCTGGACATGGTGGCAGGTGCCTATAATCCCAGGTACTCAGGAGGCTGAGCCAGGAAAATTGCTTCAACCCAGGGGGCGCAGGTTGCAGTGAAACAAGGTTGCACCACTTCACTCTAGCCTGGGTGAAAGAGCAAAACTCTGTTTCAAAAGAAAAAAAAAAGAAATTAGCTTTTTCACTAGAGACAGCATGAATTTTTATGACTAGTTTGGAGTTCTTGTGCTATTTTACCATTGACCTTGTCTCTTTCCTCATTTCAGTTCTTAGCGCAAAATTCTGACTGCTTAAATGTGCTTAGATCATGAATATAGTAGGTAATATTCCTTGTTAGCTATGGTTAGATTGTTCCACATCCCCTGTAATCCCAGCACTTTGGGAGGCCGAGGCGGGTGGATTACGAGGTCAAAAGATCGAGACCATCCTGGTCAATGTGGTGAAACCTCCTCTGTACTAAAAATACAAAAAATTAGCTGGGCATGGTGGCGCGTGCCTGTAATCCCGGCTACTCGGGAGGCTGAGGCAGGAGAATTGCCTGAACCCAGAAGCGGAGATTGCGGTGAGCAGAGATTGCACCATTGCACTCCAGCCTGGGTAACAAGAGCAAAACTCTGTCTCAAAAAAAAAAAGACCAGGCGCGGTGGCTCAAGCCTGTAATCCCAGCACTTTGGGAGGCTGAGGCGGGTCGATCACGAGGTCAAGAGATCGAAACCATCCTGGTCAACAAGGTGAAACCCCGTCTCTACTAAAAATACAAAAAATTAGCTGGGCATGGTGGCGCATGCCTGTAATCCCAGCTACTCAGGAGGCTGAGGCAGGAGAATTGCTTGAACCCAGGAGGCGGAGGTTGCGGTGAGCCGAGATCGCACCATTGCACTCCAACCTGGGTAACAAGAGCGAAACTCCCGTCTCAAAAAAAAAATCAAGATTGTTCCACATCCCTTCAATTAAATGCAAAATCCTTAAAGAGGGGACTACAGTTTACATTTAGGGCAGGGCACAGTGGTTCACACCTGTAATCTTAGCACTTTGGGAGGCTGAGGTGGGTGGATCACTTAATGTCAGGAGATCAAGACCAGCCTGGGCAACATGGTGAAACTCCCTCTCTACTGAAAATACAAAAATTAGCCAGGCGTGGTGGCACATGCCTGTAATCCTAGCTACTTGTAAGGCTGAGACAAGAGAACTGCTTGATCCTGGGAAGTGGAGGTTGCAGTGAGCCAAGATCATGCTGCTGTACTCCAGCATGGGTGACAGAGCAAGACCCTGTCTCAAAAAAAAATCTACAGTTAGAAGTTACCAAATGATATCCTGGTGAATTCTTTTTTTCTTCATTCATTTTGTTTGTTTGTTTGTTTTTGAGACAGAGTCTCACTCTGTTGCCTGGGCTGGAGTGTATTTTGGCACAATCTGAGCTCACTGCAACCTCTGCCTCCCAGTTTCAAGTAATTCTCCTTCCTCAGACTCCCAAGTAGCTGGGACTGCAGGCATGCACCACCACACCCAGCTAAGTTTTTTTTTTTTTGTATTTTTAGTAGAGATGGGATTTTGCCATGTTGGTCAGCTGGTCTCAAACTCCTGATGCCAGGTGACCCACCTGTCTCAGCCTACCAAAGTGCTGGGATTACAGGCGTGAGCCACCGTGCCCAACCAAGAATTTATGTGTTTTGTTGTTGGTGGTGGTGGTGGTGGTGGTGGTGGTGGTTTGTTTTTTTGTTTTAGAGATGAGTTCTCACCATGTTGCCCAAGCTGGAGTGCAGGGGCTGTTCACAGGCACCATCCCAGTACTGATCAGCACAGGAGTTTTGACCTGCTCGATTTCCGACCTGGGCCAGTTTCCTCCTTAGGCAACCTGGTGGTCCCCCACTCCTGGGAGTTCATCATATTGATGCCGAACTTAGTGCAGACATTGGCATAACGCACTACAGCCCAGAAATCCTGGGCTCAAGTGATCCTCCCACCACAGCCTCCTGTGTAGCTGGGACTACAGGCACAAGCCACCGTGCCCGGTGAAATTATGTTTTTTTGTTTTGTTTTGTTTTGTTTTTTGAGACGGAGTGTTGCTCTTGTTATCCAGGCTGGAGTGCAATGGCACGATCTCGGCTCACCACCTCCGCCTCCTGGGTTCAGGCAATTCTCCTGCCTCAGCCTCCTGAGTAGCTGGGATTACAAGCACGCACCACCACGCCCAGCTAATTTTTTGTATTTTAAGTAGAGACAGGGTTTCACCATGTTGACCAGGATGGTCTCGATCTCTTGACCTCGTGATCCACCCGCCTCGGCCTCCCAAAGTGCTGGGATTACAGGCTTGAGCCACTGCGCCCGGCCTGAAATTATGTTCTTAAGCAGAGTATCCAAACATCTCTTGGTCTCACAGTCCTAAGCAGGTATAGGTGACTGGTTCTATAAGCTAGTATTCTGTACTTGTTATGGTAATGTAGTGTCTAAATATCAAAAATAACATTTTTGTTTGTCTTAATTGTGGTAAAATACACATAACATACAATATATCATCTTAACCATTTTTAAGTGTACAGTTCAGGAGTGTTAAGTGCATTCACAATATTTTGCAACCAATCTCCAGAACACTTTTCATCTCAGAAAAAAGCATTAAGTGACTACGCCCTGTTTCTCCCAGACCCCAGCCCCTGAGAACCACCATTTTACCTCCCATCTTTATGAATTTGGCTACTTGAATCATATAGCATGTATCTTTTTGTGACTGGCTTATTTCACTTAGCATACTGTCTTCAAGGATCATTCTTGTAGTGGCATGCCCCAGAATTTTCTTCCTTAAAGTTATCTTAAAAGATTAGTCAGGTGTGGTGGCAGTCGCCTATAATCCCAGCTTGGGGGCCTGAGCCAGGAGAATCATTTGAAGCAGAGGTTGCAGTGAGCAGAGACTGCACCATTGCACTTTAGCTGGGCAACAAGAACAAAACTCCATCTCAGGAAAAAAAAGATAATCTCAAAGATAACTAAATGACTTTCTGTTATATTTAAATGTCAGATTTTATTCATCCATCAGTGAACACTTGGATTGCTTCTACCTTTTGGCTATGGAAAATGATGCTATGAACAGGGGTATAGAAATACCTCTTTAAGACCCTTTTTTTTTAATTCTTTGGGGTGTATACCAAAAAATGGAACTACTGAATTATATGATAATTTTCCTTTTAATTTTTTGAGAAACTGCCATACTGTTTTCCATAGCTGCTGCACCATTTTACGTTCCCAGCAACAGTGCACAAGAGTTCCAGTTTCTCCACATCCTCACCATGTGATTTTTTTGAGGGGAGGGGAGGGGTTACGTTAAGCCCAATTTGGTTTTAAATTTTAACGTTTGATTACGGATAGCATTCTCTGCATATCTCTAGAGAAACAAATTTTGGAAGGCCAGTGTGGTAATCCCAGCACTTTGGGAGGCCGAGGCGGGTGGATCACAAGGTCAGGCATTTGAGACCAACCTTGCCAACATGGTGAAAACCCATCTCCACTAAAAACACAAAAATTAGCCGAGCGTTGTAGTTGTATGCCTGTAATCCCAGCTACTCAGGAGACTGAGGCAGGAGAATCCCTTGAACCTGGGAGGCGGAGGTTGCTGTGAGCTGAGATCACACCATTGCACTCCAGCCTGGGCAACAGAGTGAGACTCCAGCTCAAAAAAAAGAGAAAGAGAGAGAAACAAATTTTGGAAGTTCTATTGTCTAATATATTACCGCCTCATAGCTGGCACAGTGATGTTTGAGTATGGAATGCGTCTTGGCAGAGAAGTTCGAACTCTCCGGGGACTTGAAAAACAAGGCAACTGTTATCTGGCTGCTCTCAACTGTTTACGGCTTATTCGTCCAGAATATGCGTGGATTGTGCAGCCAGCATCTGGTGCAGTGGTATGAAAACTTTTCATCCTGGAATTTTGGGGTCATTAAATCTACTTGTTTTGGTCCTTTCAAAACTATTACATCATTTTTGCTTCATTTGATTTATAATTTCTACTGAGATATTTGTGGGAAAAAAATCTATGTTTATAACAATTCAATTGTTTTATATTACTACCTCTTTAGTTCTCAAGTTCAGAATTATTGTAGGAAGAAATATTCCAGAATAGTGTTGGAGTTAGACAGACCTGACCCAATTCAGACAAGTTACTTAATCTTGTTTTGCAGTTACTCTCTGGCATAAAATATGGATAATATCTACTTTATAGGATTGTTTGGGTAATAATGAGATAATTCAAGTCAATTGCTTAGAACGGTAACAGTGCTTGGCCCACAAAATGTGCTAAGTAAATGGTAGCTGCTTTTATTTCTATTGTGTTTGTTAATGCAGTCTACAGTCGTTGTTTTAAAGGACACGCACTTTGAGTTTGCCTATCATACTGATGGGTCAGATACACGCAGTTGCTTCTGTTATATATAACTCTGGAACCAAGGAAAATGCGTTGATTTACATGGAGATAAAAATCCCTGTCCTTGGACTCGGTAATGTGTTATAGTTAAGTTTGCAACTTGGCAAAGAACTTTCTTTGTCTCGTAAGAACTCTGCTGGTTGAAAAAAGCTCTGAATCACAGTTAATGATATCAAAATAAAATACTGATTTTCAGAGTTAAATTGCTTGTTTTGTTTTATCAGTATGATCGCCCTGGAGCATCACCTAAGAGGAATCATGATGGAGAATGCACAGCTGCCCCCAGTGAGTCAAGAGTCTCACACTGATCTTTACTAGACAGGAATATAATGTTATTGATAGTTATGATAGAAATATGTAGTTAAGCCGAGAATAGTGGCTCATGCCTATAATCCCAGCACTTTGGGAAGCCAAGGTGGGCGGATCATGAGGTCAGGAGATCAAGACCATCTGGCCAACATGGTGAAACCCCATCTCTATTTTTAAAATACAAAAAATTAGATGGGTGTGGTACCGTGTACCTATAATCCTAGCTACTCGGGAGCCTGAGATGGGAGAATCACTTGAACCTGGGAGGTGGAGCTTGGAGTGAGCCGAGATTGTGCCACTGCACTCCAGCTTGGGATGACAAAGTGAGAATCCGTCTCAAAAAAAAAAATACAAAAGTTGGCTGGGCACAGTGGTTCATGGGTGTAAACCCAGCACTTTGGGAGGCCAAGGCAGGCGGATCATTTGAGGTCAGGAGTTTGAGACCACCCTGGCCAATATGGTGAAACCCCATCCCTACTAAAAGTACAAAAATTAGCCGGGCACAGTGGCTCACACCTGTAATCCCAGCACTTTGGGAGGCCGAGGTGGGCGATTCACCCAAAGTCAGGAGCTCAAGAGCAGCCTGACCAACATGGAGAAACCCCATCTCTACTAAAAATACAAAACTAGCCAGGCGTGATGGCGTGCACCTGTAATCCCAGCTACTCGGGAGGCTGAGGCAGGAGAATCACTTGAACTCAGGAGGCGAAGGTTGCAGTGAGCCAAGATTGCTCCATTGCACTCCAGCTTAGACAAAAAAAATTTTTTTAGGCCGGGCACAGTGGCTCATGCCTGTAATTCCAGCCCTTTGGGAGGCCAAGATGGGTGGATCACCTGAGGTCAGGAGTTCAAGACCAGGCTAGCCAACATGGTGAAACCTCGTGTCTACTAAAAATACAAAAATTAGCTGGGCATGTTGGTGCTGCCTATAATCCCAGCTACTCGGGAGGCTAAGGCAGGAGAATTGCATGAACCCAGGAGGCAGAGGTTCCAGTGAGCCGAGATCGTGCCACTGCACTCCAGCCTGGGTGACCGAGTAAGGCTCTGTTTCCAAGGGGGAAAAAAACGTTAAAAGAGTTAAACAAAATTACATGTAGTACCTTGTAAGCACCTCCTCAACTGCAGTTGTTAAAAATACTTTGATTTGACTTGGGCTATTGCCTAATTTGTTTAAGTTAGCATTTATTTAGTTCCGTTTTCTCCTTCCTTCATGCATTTAGAAATTAGATTGAATGTTACTTAATGTTCAGTGGAAATTGACAGGTTGAGTTAATCTAATGGATAATTATTTGTTCTTTGGGAATTGAAACTACTTTTCTTTGATGTATATAGCAAATCGACACATTGAAATTCTGGAACTGGAAGATCTGGAGAAAGAGTGTTCCTTGGCTCGCATCCGCCTCACTTTAGCTCAGCATGATCCATCAGCAGTTGCAGTTGCCGGTAGGAATTCAGAGTTAAAGCCTCTAACCTGTCAGTACCAATAGCACATTTTAGGTCCAGGCAGTAAGCGTGGGTTGTTACTCAGAGATACTCATCAACCAAGCAAAATCTTTGGTTTTATTTGTGTATACCTTGGCTACACTAAATAACCTTTTTCCATTTTCACAGGAAGTGCATCAGCAGAGGAGATGGTCACTCTCTTGGTTCAGGCAGGCCTCTTCGACACTGCCATATCACTTTGTCAGACTTTTAAGCTTCCCTTAACACCAGTCTTTGAAGGGCTTGCCTTCAAGTATGTATAAAATTATCTTTTCATACTCCTTTCTAATGCAAATATATTATCCTCTTGCTTGGCGTGAAGCAGTCATCATAAGCCAAGTAGCCTGTTTATCATTTGTGGTTTGAAGAAGTATTTTTGTTTAAATCCGTGAAATGATTTTTAAAAAATTTTAGTTGTTTATGATTTTACTTTAAAGAAAAAATCTTGATTTGTAGTTTGAGAACTCAGAAGAGCGGATAACCTGAGTTAAATGACGGTGCTCATTCCAAACAAGACATATGTTCTCTTTGGTCCTGTAGGACATCTGTTGGTCTCTCTAAACATTCTTTTTTTTTTTTTTTTGAGACGGAGTCTCACTCTGTTGCCCAGGCTGGAGTGCAGTGGCACAATCTTGGCTTACTGCAACCTCCACCTCCTGGGTTCAAGCGATTCTCCTGCCTCAGCCTCCCGAGTAGCTGAGATTACAAGCAAGCACCATGATACTCAGCTAATTTTCTATTTTTAGTAGAGACGGGGTTTCTCCATGTTGGTCAGGCCAGTCTCAAACTCCCAACCTCAGGTGATCTGCCTGACTCTGCCTCCCAAAGTGCTGGGATTACAGGTGTGAGACTCCATCTTAGTTTAAAAAAAAGAAAGAAAAGCATTTTTTATCATTAATTTTCTCTTGGAAGTAAATTGTCTCTTAATGCGTACTCATGTCCTTGTAGGTATTCAGTTGCGTGACTTGAGGAAGAGAAGAGCCAATCCTCCAGTAGTGAATTCAGCAATAGAGATGAAGTTGTCCTCTTAACTCTTTAATTTTAGTAGCAAAATAAGGTGGTACATTTCAGCGTTTAGTTTTCAAGTGTGGAACCGTTTTCATTCCAGATGCATCAAGTTGCAATTTGGAGGAGAGGCAGCACAAGCAGAAGCCTGGGCCTGGCTAGCAGCCAATCAGCTCTCATCTGTCATCACCACTAAGGAGTCTAGGTACAGCCCTGGTGTTCCTCCAATCCTAGGTGGTTTTGCCTTTTTCAAAGCTGTAGCTGTCTTTTTCTGATTAAATTATCCTACATAGATCATTTCACTTTTTTCTTTCTTTTTGGCTAAGTTTTTGTAGGTAGGGGCTGGGAAGTTTATAATTAGGGCGACATCATGTCATTTATTGTCCAAACCAGGATGTCTTTGCCTGTGAAATATCTCCTCTGTATTCCCCTCCTCAAAGACTTATTGTATCATATCATCAGGAAAAGGTACTCTTACAGGCAAAGATCTATATTTACTTGGTTTCAGAGTGTTACTTCCATTTCTCCCATTTCTTCCATTGAGCAGTCTTGCATGATTTCATCACAGTGTCCTCTGACAGCTTGTCTCCAGCTGCTGTTCAGCAGTCTGTCACCCATCATCCATAATACTTTGTTTTGTTTTGTTTTTTGAGACGGAGTCTCACTCTGATGCCCAGGCTGGAGGGCAGTGGCACAATCTCTGCTCACTGCAACCTCTGTCTCCCAGGCTCAAGCGATTCGCCTGCCTCAGCCTCCTGAGTAGCTGGGACTACAGGTTCGTGACACCATGCCCGGCTCATTTTTGTATTTTTAGTAGAGACAGGGTTTCACCATATTGGTCAGACCTGTCTTGAACTCCTGACCTCGTAATCCATCCACCTCAGCCTCCCAAAGTGCTGGGATTACAGGCGTGAGCCACCGCGCCCGGCCCGATACCTCCTTCAGATTTCCTCTGTTCATAAACTTCCCCAGTGCATCCACTTACTATCGATGTAAATGTACTTCAGCTTCTTCAGAAACCTTCTCTAACATCCCAGACCCTCAGTAAACTTCCCTTTCTGACTGCTTTTGCACTTTGTATTATACAGCTTAGCACTTTAGCACAGTAGCATTTTAGAATTTGGAAGTTTGCTGACATTAGTTTTCAACCTCTAAAGCAGCACATCAGAATAACATTAAAATACAGATTGAGACATCACCCTAGTCTTCTGAGTTAGAACGTCCATGTGATTCTAATGCTTGATCAGGTTTCAGATCCAGTGTTCTCAACCAGTTTCTTGTTTTAGAAATACAGAAAGAAAGCAGTTAAATGAATTATATATATTCATAGCCAAACAAATACGTAGTCAGTGGGAGAGGAATATATGAACCCAAGTTACCTACTTTCTAGTACTATCCCCCTAAGTCACATTAGCCCAAATAATATTTGTTCCCATTTAGCTATATTATTGATTCAGTTGTGAATTTCTAAAGTTTTCCTTGTAAGACCAGGCATGGTGACTCCTGCCTGTAATCCCAACACTTTGTGAGGAGGATCACTTTAGCTCAGAAGTTCAGTACCAGCTCAGGCAACATAGTAAGTCCTTGTCTCTACAAAATTTAAACAAAATTAGCCGGGCATGGTAGCCCATGCCTGTATTCCCAGCTACTCAGGAAGCTGAAATGGGAGAATCTGGAGGTGAGGCTGCAGTGAGCTGAGATCACACCACTGCACTCCAGCCTGGATGACAGAGCAAGACCCTGTCTCAAAAAAATGTTTTCTTGTAAATACATGCTTTGAATGGTATTCTAAATAGCTCTTAAGATTGTGAACCCCATTAGTCATTTTTTGTTTTTCAAGTGCTACAGATGAAGCATGGCGACTATTATCAACTTACCTAGAAAGGTACAAAGTCCAGAATAACTTGTATCACCACTGTGTAATCAACAAGCTCTTATCTCATGGAGTGCCTCTGCCTAATTGGCTTATAAACAGCTACAAGGTAAGTGGATCATAACCTTTACTCTTTATCATTCTAGATAACTTCATGAGACGATTAAAAAGAGGCCAGGTGCGAGGCATCTCACACCTGTAATCCCAGCACTTTGGGAGGCTGAGGTGGGCGGATAACCTGAGGTCGGGAGTTCGAGACCAGCCTGACCAACACAGAAACCCAGTCTCTACTAAGAATACAAAATCAGGCTGGGCGCAATGGCTCACGCTTGTAATCCCAACACTTTAGGAGGCCGAGACAGGCGGATCATGAGGTCAAGAGATGGAGACCATCCCAGCCAACATGGTGAAACCCTGTCTCTACTAAAATACAAAAATTAGCTGGGAATGGTGGCTCATACCTGTAGTCCCAGCTACTCGGGAGGCTAAGGCAGGAAAATTACTTGAACCCGGGAGGCAGAGGTTGCAGTGAGCTGAGATTGTGCCTGGCACCTGGCGACAAAGCAAGACTCTGTCTCAAAAAAAAATAAAATCAGCTGGGTGTGGTGGCACATGCCTGTAATCCCAGCTACTCAGGAGGCTGAGGCAGGAGAATCACTTGAATCCATGAGGTGGAGGTTGCAGTGAGCCAAGATTGTGTCATTGCACTCCAGCCTAGGCGGCAAGAGTGAAACTGTCTCAAGAAAAAGAAAGGAAAAAGATGGACTGATTGCAGTGGCTCACACCTGTCATTCCCATACTTTGGGAGGCCAGCAGGGGAGGATGGCTTAAGCCCAGGAGTTCAAGACCAGCTTGGGCAACATAGGGAGACCCCATCTCTGTTTATATTTAAAAATACATAAAGAAAAAGATGAAGTGATAACTTATGGGAACATGTTGACTTATAGACTTTGGAAAGCTTTTCTTCATAGCTAAAACTGTAAGGACAATCCAATTTCATTTCCACAGTAGTACTGTGTGTTTAGATTTGAAGTTTCATATGTCAGTAATTAGGTTAATGACTACTATTATATTCACTGAACAGTGAGTTTATACACAGGATTTACTATTCATAACTCTAAAATTCTCAGGAGTGGGTGGAGTACTTTTCAAATAATATAACAGTATGGATAGTCTGAGTGCCGTGGTATTTACAATGAATTGAGCATAGCTAGTTTCAGATTGGTTCCTTCTCCACTCCCACTGTTTCACCTATTAAAAATCAAAAACGGCCGGGCACAGTGGCTCATACCTGTAATCCCAGCACTTTGGGATGCCATGGCGGGTGGATCACCTGAGGTCAGGAGTTCAAAACCAACCTGGCCAACATGATGAAACCCCGTCTCTAGTAAAAATACAAGAATTAGCCGGGCACAGTGGTGGGCGCCTGTAATCCTAGCTACTCTCGAGGCTGAGGCAGGAGAATCGCTTGAACCCAGTGGGCAGAGGTTGCAATAAGCCAAGATCGTGCCATTGCACTCCAGCCTCGGTAACAGGGCGAGACACTGTCTCAAAAAAAGAAAAAGAAAGTAGGAGGCCGGGCACAGTGGCTCAAGCCTATAAACCCAGCACTTCGGGAAGCCAGCCAAGGCAGGCAGATCACCTGAGGTCAGGATTTCAAGACCAGCCTGGCCAACATGGTGAAACCCTATCTCCACTAAAAATACAAAAATTAGCTAAATGTGATGGCACATGCCTGTAACCCCAGCTACTCGGGAGGCGGAGGCAAAAGAACGCTTGAACCCAGGAGGTAGAGATTACAGTGATCCGAGATTGCACCACTGCACTCCAGCCTAGGCAACAGAGCAAGACTCTGTCTCAAAAAAATAAATAAGTAGGGAAGGCAGCTAAGATGATAAAGGTAAGATTGTGATCAAATCAGAATATAGAAAGCATACTTAATTAAAGAGCTCTTCCAAATAGAGACTTCAGATTTGAAGTTGTTGATTCTTTGAACTTCTTTTGCATTTGTCATTTGTGTAGTTCTTATTATGTGACTATATTGTCACTTTGTTATTCAGGAAAAATTTATTGACTTTATAACTGTGGAAACTGAACTGGAGAAAAGTTAAAATCGTCTTAGGTCACAAAAGAGGGGAATAAGGCTATTTAACAACAAATAGAGCCTCCCAAAGTACCTAAAGGTAATGGCTCTTGGGAATTCAACTTTTTTTTTTTTTCCTAACTCCCCAAACTTGTTATCAGCTGTTATACTAAGATATAGATGAGTAAGCCAAGGCACTGGTTTAATTATTTTGAGAAATACAAACGTTAGGGAATCAACCACTCAACTTTCTTTTGGTCAATACCCAAGTAAGAGGGAAATAGATACATATTCTTAATCACTGACTTTTCGCAGAAAGTTGATGCTGCTGAATTGCTTCGTTTGTACTTGAACTATGACCTTTTAGAAGAAGCTGTGGATTTGGTGTCAGAATATGTGGATGCTGTATTGGGAAAAGGACATCAATACTTTGGAATTGAGGTAGGCATATGCAAACGATCCCCAATTTACAATGGTTTGACTTATGATTTTTCAACTTTACGATGGTTTGAAAGTGATAAACATTTATGAGAAACCATACTTTAAAATATTCGTACAACCATTCAGATTTTCACTTACAGTACAGTATTCAATAAACTAATGAGATATTCAACAGTGTGTTATAAAATAGGCTTTCTGTTAGATGATTTTGCCCACTTAGAGGTTAATGGTAAGTGTCCTGAGCATGCTTAAGTAGGCTAGGCTAACCCATAATGTTCATTAGGTTAGGTGTATTATATGCATTTTCAACTTACGATATTTTCAACTGATGATAGTTTTATTGGAAAACAAGCCCACCATAAGTTGAGGAACATCTGTATAGGCATATTTTTTTGTTGTTGTTGTTTTTGTGGGGTTTTTTGTTTTTTGGTTTTTTTTTGACAGTCTTGTTCTTTCGCCCGGGCTGGAGTGCAGTGGTGCAGCCTCCACTCACTACAACCTCCGCCTCCTAGGTTCAAGCAATTCTCTTGTCTCAGCCTCCTGAGTAGCTACGATTGCAAGCACTTGCCACCACACCCAGCTTTATTTTATATTTTATTTTATTTTATTTGAGACAGAATCTTGCTCTGTCACCCAGGCTAGAGTGCAGTGGCACGATCTTGCCTCACTGCAACCTCTGCCTTCTGGCCTCAAGCAATTCTCCTGCCTCAGCCTCCCAAGTAGCTGGGATTACAGGTGCCCGTCACCACACCCGGCTAATTTTTATTTTTTTATTATTATTTTTTTTTTTTTGAGACGGAGTTTCACTGTTGTTACCCAGACTGGAGTGCAATGGCACGATCTCGGCTCACCACAACTTCTGCCTCCTGGGATCAGGCAATTCTCCTGCCTCAGCCTCCCGAGTATCTGGGACTACAGGCATGCACCACCATGCCCAGCTAATTTTTGTATTTTTAGTAGAGACGGGGTTTCACCATGTTGACCAGGATGGTCTCGATCTCTTGACCTCGTGACCCACCCACCTCAGCCTTCCAAAGTGCTGGGATTACAGGCGTGAGCCACCACTCCTGACCTAAGCATTTCTTTTTTGGTTTTTTTTGAGACGGAGTTTCACTCTTGTTACCCAGGCTGGAGTGCAATGGTGCGATCTCGGCTTACCGCAACCTCTGTCTCCTGGGTTCAGGCAATTCTCCTGCCTCAGCCTCCTGAGTAGCTGGGATTACAGGCATGCGCCACCATGCCTGGCTAATTTTTTTTTAATTTTTAGTAGAGACGGGGTTTCACCATGTTGACCAGGATGGTCTCCATCTCTTGACCTCGTGATCCACCCACCTCGGCCTCCCAAAGTGCTGGGATTACAGGCTTGAGCCACCGCGCCCGGCCAGCATTTCTTTTTATTATCATGCTATGTAAGGTGAGAATCTGAGAGCAAATTGAACTATATGTTAGTGTATTGAACCTTTACTCGCTATAGTTATACAACTAAATCTTGACACTAGGAATCTCTAGGCTCCCATTTATAAAATAGGAGTTTCATCTTTCTCTATCAAAATATTGTGGCATTAGTTAGCATTCAATGGAGAGAGGTAAACAAAATGGTATTATGTGTGTGGTGGGACGGTGTTAAGTCTCTACAAGCTTTTTTTTTTTTTTTTTTCCCCTTGGGAAAGGCCACGAGATTTATTGGTTCAAGATATTTAAGGAAATCTGTCCACCTTTTTTTTTTTTTTTTTTTTTTTTTAGATGGAGTCTCGCTCTGTCACCCAGGCTGGGGTGGAATGGCATGATCTCAGCTCACTGCAATCTCCACTTCCTGGGTTCAAGCAATTCTTCTGCCTCAGCCTCCTAAGTAGCTGGGATTGCGCCTCCACACCTGGCTAATTTTTGTATTTTTAATAGAGACGAGGTTTCACCATGTTGACCAGCCTGGTCTGGAACTCCTGACCTCGTGATCTGCCCACCTTGGCTTCCCAAAGTGCTGGGATTACAGGCGTGAGCTACCATGCCCGGCCAGCATTTTCTTACTTAATCCTTATAGCAGCCTTATGAAGGAATGTTTTAATTTAATTTTTTTTAGCCCCTGAAAGAACAGGCTCACAAAGATGGTAAATATAATAGAAGAGCCAGGTCTAAACAGGTGTAGTTAACTACAGAACCAGGTTCCTCAACCATCATGAAATCAGCCAGGTGCAGTAGCACTTTGGGAGGTCAAGATGGGAGGTTGGTTTAAACCCAGGGTTCAAGACCAGCTTTGGCAACATAATGAGAACCTATCTCTACAAAAAAAAAAAAACAGAAAAATCTTAACTGGGCATAGTGGTGCATGTCTGTAGTCCCAGCTGTGTGGGAAGCAGAGGTGGAAGGATCACATGAGCCCTGGAGTTGAGGGTACAGTGAGCTATGATCTTATCACTACACTCCAGCCTGGATGACAGAGTGAGACCCTGTCTCAAAAAAAAAAAAGAGAAAGATGACATGAATTTTTAAATATAGCCGGGCGCTGTGGCTCATGCCTGTAATCCCAGCTCTTAGGGACGCAGAGGTGGGAGGATAGCTTGAGCCCAGGAGTTTAAGACCTGCCCGGGCAATATAGTGAGACCCCATTCTCGACAAAAGGAAAAATCAAAAAGACCAAAAAAAAAAAAAACCAAAAAAATTTAAATATATTTAGTTTAACCAAGAAAATGACAAGTTTCCCAATTGGAGAAAGGGGGGTTTCCATTGTGTACATGCGCCTGCACACACACACAGTTTCTTGTTGTGAAATAAAAGCATCTTATTTGGCCTGTCACAGTGGCTTACTTTGGGAGGCCAAGGTGGGTGGATCACTTGAGTCTGGGAGTTCAAGACCAGCCTGGCCAACATGGTGAAAGCCTATCTCTACTAAAAATTAAAATTAAAAAAATTAGCCGGGTATGGTGGTGCATATCTGTATTCCAGCTCCTCAGGAGGCTAAAGCATGAGAATCGCTTGAGCCCAGAAGGTGGAGGTTGCAGTGAGCCAAGATCGTGCCATAGCACTCAACCTGGGCGACAGAGAGAGCAAGACTGTCTCAACAAAAAGGGGGCATTTTATTTTACAGAGTCCTATGAAAACAGCTACCCAGAAGAAATGGTACACTTTCAGACTGTTTTCAAATAAACATTTTCCTTTTAGTTTCCACTGTCCGCAACAGCCCCATTGGTGTGGCTTCCATACTCCTCTATTGATCAGCTTCTCCACGCTCTGGGAGAGAACAGTGCCAACAGTCACAACATCGCAGTAAGTCAGCCCTTTCATGAGATGTCTTCTGTAAGCCCCCGCGCTAGCAGTTACACCTTGCAGCTTGATCTTCAGTTCTCAGGGATTAGAAAGGAAGGACAAAAGCCCATTTTTGGCCCTTAAGCTACCCAGTCCCTTTATAGATAAGGCAAAGGATCTAAGTAACATGGTCAAGAAAACGCAATGAGAAACTATGTAAATGTTAATTATGCAGAGACAAATGGCATGCAGTCAGTCCATCCTTTAACGCATTTAGTTGGTAGGGCAGACCCTACAGGGTAAACAGGTACTTGAAATACAGTGTGATAGGTCGGGTGCAGTAGCTCACGCCTGTAATCTCAGCAATTTGGGAGGCTGAGGCAGGTGGATCACCTGAGGTAAGGAGTTCGAGACCAGCTTGGCCAACCAACATGGTAAAACACCATATCTACCAAATATTCAAAATTAGCCAGGCATAGTAGTGGGCACCTGTAATCCCAGCTACCTGGGAGGCTGATGCAGGAAAATCGCTTGAACCCAGAAAGCAGAGGTTGCAGTGAGCCGAGATTGCACTCCTACACTCCAGCCTGGGTGGCAGAACAAGACTGTCTCAAAAAAAAAAATACAGCAACATTTCTCAGGAGTCATATATTCCTTTCTGCTTGCCTTAAAATAAAAAGCAATAGTGTTTCCTTTGCTCAGAATAATTATAGTGATGGCTTGTTTACCCGTGAGATAGAGTGATTCCTGAGCCTATCTTAAAATATGAGTTCTAGGCTGGGCACAGTGGCCCACGCCTGTAATCCCAGCACTTTGGGAGGCTGAGGCAGGTGGCCTGAGGTCAGGAGTTGGAGACCAGTCTGACCAATATGAAGACACCCCATCTCTGCTAAAAATACAAAATTTGCTGGACGTGGTGGCATATGCCTGTAATCCCAGCTACTCAGGAGGCTGAGGTAGGAGAATTGCTTGAACCTGGGAGGTGGAGGGTTCGGTAAGCTGAAAACACAACATTGTATTCCAGCCTGGTTAAGAAGAGTGAAACTTTGCCTCTAAAATAAAATAAATATTAGTTCTATATTTCACTTGGCAGCTAATAACTAGTTAAATCATATGCAGCCGGGCGCGGTGGCTCAAGCCTGTAATCCCAGCACTTTGGGAGGCCGAGGCGGGTGGATCACGAGGTCAAGAGATCGAGACCATCCTGGTCAACATGGTGAAACCCCGTCTCTACTAAAAATACAAAAATTAGCTGGGCATGGTGGTGCCTGCCTGTAATCCCAGCTACTCAGGAGGCTGAGGCAGGAGAATTGCCTGGACCCAGGAGGCGGAGGTTGCGGTGAGCTGAGATCGTGCCATTGCACTCCAGCCTGGGTAACAAGAGCGAAACTCAGTCTCAAAAAAAAAAAAAAAAAATCATATGCAGCATCTCTGGTTCTGAGAAGAGTTAGTGATCCTTTTATTAGAAATACTGGTATGATTTCCATTCTTAGAAAATGAGATTGAAGGCCGGGCGCGGTGGCTCAAGCCTATAATCCCAGCACTTAGGGAAGCCGAGGCGGGTGGATCACGAGGTCAACAGATCGAGACCATCCTGGTCAACATGGTGAAACCCCATCTCTACTAAAAAATTACAAAAAATTAGCTGGGCACAGTGGTGCGTGCCTGTAATCCCAGCTACTCGGGAGGCTGAGGCAGGAGAATTGCCTGAACCCAGGAGGCGGAGGTTGCGGTGAGCCGAGATCGTGCCATTGCACTCCAGCCTGGGTAACAAGAGCGAAACTCTGTCTCCAAAAAAAAAAAGAAAAAAGAAAATGAGATCGAAATGTTGTATGTAACAGAGAGGCTTAGTTTTATCAGTAGAGTCACAGGAGACGCCTATACTGAGTGGTGATTTTATGAAGCAGAGTGGCTAACAGGCTAACATCTTTATTAGATGGAATCTACTTGATGAAGTTAAAGTGATTAATAACTTCAATCTTTTTCCATTGTCAAGCTGTTCTGTAATGTTTTCCTTCTTTTCTCTTATAGCTGTCCCAGAAAATACTTGACAAATTGGAAGACTACCAGCAAAAAGTTGATAAGGCGACACGAGATTTATTATATCGTCGGACCTTGTGATCCGAAATGTTACCTAGCCTTTGTAACCGCTTGGTGCCTCTTAGGGCTTAAGACTACCCTACAGGAACCCTGTACTCAACGCCGATTTTTATAACTGTAAATCATGTGTACAGCATTCAAGTCTGCATTCTGCACAAGATAGGGCGGAAGAGTCAGAGGACCCTGTACTTGCTGGTGGTGCTAACACAATTTCTGGTGTTCAACCTTGGTCTCAAATAGCTGCTTTTGTATATGATTCACAAGCTTTTTTAGAGTTTATATTTTTTTAAACTACCGAAGACATTCTTTATCTGCAAATTAAGACCCACCTTCACTTTCCAAAATAGCTGAGGGTTGTTGGCTTGTTGTAGCTGACCACCAAAAACAGTCCCGGCAAATCTTTTAATTCTTCCTATCACCTTTTGTATTTTAATGCAATTATTTTGGTCCAGAACTGACATGTATTTTCTGTATTGCACACAGAGACTAATGATTTTGCATACTCTTCATTATTTATTTTGGAGGTTTTGTATGATCTTCAATAAAGTATTAAATAATTTGCCTAGATTAAGCCTAAAATGATGACCAGCCATTTAAAGAAGATATTTTGAATCTGGTTCTGAGCTAAAGTTGAGTAATTTTTTAGCTAAGAAAAAATTGGATATCCATCATCTATATTAGCAACAGATTCTCAAAGTAAATTGTTAACGTCTATGATTTATGATAATCAAGCTGGACTTGATCATACAAGTTAGTCTAATAATGTATTTGGACCAAAATATAAACGTTATTCATCAGATTCAGAAGCATTCATGCTCACAAGTTTTGGGAAAGTGAAAAATAATAAAATCATCTTGGATTTTATTCTATATATTAAAATTTATCTTTTAAGGAAACAATCTGTATACTACTTGCTTGTATAGCCTTTTGACCCTTCTTAAGTTTTTCATAAGCCTTTAATTTTTATACTTTCAATACCATATTTACATTATATACTTTAATTAACAATGTGAATTTCTCTGTGGTACTGTTGTTGGTAGATACTGAAGTGTGTGGTTCTTCCCCCCCCCCCATTTTTGCTCTACTATGATTAATATGAGGCATTTGGGGCAATTTGGACCTGTCCTCCCAGCTCTCTAAACCTGTGGTTTTCAACGACAGTAAGAAAGACATTTTGACCTACATACACATATATAACCAAAAGAAAAGTTTCACAAAATTTGTATCCTCACCTACTGTGTATCCTGATATGCTCATGAGTGACTAATGGATCATAACCCACAGTATGAAAAACACCAAGGGCCAGGCATGGTGGCTCACTCCTGTAATCCCAACACTTTGGGAAGCTGAGGCAGGCAGATCACTTGAAGTCAGGAGTTCAAGATCAACATGGGAAAACCACATCTCTCCAAAAAAACTAGTAGCTGGATGTGGTGGTTCGTACCTGTAGTCCCAGCTAATGGAGGGGCTGAGGCAGGACAATGGCTTGAGCCTAGGAGGTGGAGGTTGGAGTGAGCCTTGAGCATGTCACTGCACTCCAGCCTGGGTAACAATTCGACCAAACCCTGTTGTAGCCACCTCTGGAGAGCGACGAGTAGTGAGAAACTATCCCTATTCTAGAACCTCTCCCACCATTTGTGTTGCTGATCAATGCAGTGGTTTCCATGCTAGCAGTTCACAAGATACTGATCAGCTTTTCCTGTTCTAGAACCCATGCTCAACCCAGCCCAGCTCTTCTGTCCATTGTCTTTTACCTTCCTCACATTGAGTCCCAACCAGAGCAGAGCATGCCCCCATTCCTTCCACTCCACTTTTCTCAGTTTTGAGTCTGCATTTTTGATTGCTGGACTATGTGTTACTTTTAATAATCTATAATAGCAGCAGTATTCCTTGTTTTTCCCAATGCTGGCAACTTTTTAATCATAAAAGTAGTATTTAAAAGGTTCCTTCCGGCCAGGTGTGGTGGATCACCTGAGGTCAAGTTCAAGACCAGCTTGACCAACATGGCAAAACCCTGTCTCTACTAAAAATATAAAAATTAGCTGGGCATGGTGGCAGGTGCCTGTAATCCCAGCTACTCAGGAGGCTGAGGCAGGAGAATCGCTTGAACCCAGGAGGCGGAGGTTGCAGTGAGCCAAGATCATGCCATTTCACTCCATCTCAAAAAAAAATGTTCATTCTATTTTGGTATCTAGCTACTTACTGTTAAAGTTGTGACTCTTAGATAAAACCTTAATTTCATAGTTCTTAAATAATTTAACCAGTTATAGCTGGTAAGCCACCTTACCAGCCTGTGACAATAAAAGTAGGTTTTTTTAATATTAGATTTTAATTCTGGCTGGACGTGGTGGGTCATGCCTGTGATCCAAGCACTTTGGAGGCCAAGGCGGGCAGATCGCGTGAGGTCGGGAGTTCAAGACCAGCATGACCAAAACCCCGTCTTAAAAAAAAATGAAAAAAGAATTTATGACGGCTGGTGCAGTGGCTCACGCCTGTAATCCCAGCACTTTGGGAGGCCGAGGCAGGTGAATCACAAAGTCAAGATATCAAGACTATCCTGGCTAACATGGTGAAACCCTGTCTCTACTAAAAATACAAAAAATCAGCCGAGTGTGGTGGCCCACGCCTGCAGTCCCAGCTACTCAGGAGTCTGAGGCAGGAGAATCGCTTGAACCTGGGAGGCATAAGTTGCAGTGAGCCAAGATCACACCATTGCACTCCAGCGTGACTCTGTCTCAAACACACTGAGTTTCATATCAAAGTTTTATCTTCACAGTTCTTTCCAATGGTGCCTACACATAAAAATATCGATTATTCTGTATTTTTTTTTCAAAATGGGGAGACCCTTTAATATAAATAAGTCATCATTTATCATTAACCCCTTGCCACAAAAAATATACCTTTTGATGCCTGCACAGACTCTAATCATCAAAAAGCCAATTTATTGTTCAAATGACCTATGCCAGTCACTGGACTAAAAAATGTTTCTTCCAGTAAATGACACTTAATGGTTTTTTTGTTTTTTTAGGGTTTTTTTTTTTTTTTTGGTTTTTTTTTGAGACGTTTTGCTCTTGTTACCCAGGCTGGAGTGCAATGGCGCGATCTCGGCTCACCACAACCTCCGCCTCCTGGGTTCAGGCAATTCTCCTGCCTCAGCCTCCTGAGTAGCTGGGATTACAGGCACGTACCACCATGCCCAGCTAATTTTTTGCATTTTTAGTAGAGACGGGGTTTCACCATGTTGACCAGGATGGTCTCGATCTCTTGACCTCGTGATCCACCCGCCTCGGCCTCCCAAAGCGCTGGGATTACAGGCGTGAGCCACCGCGCCCGGCCAACACTTCATGTTTTAAGTGAACTTCCCCCAAAACACACAAGGTCAAATAAAGAATGTATCTGTATTCAGAACAATTGGCTTGAAAAAAAAAAAGCATGTATCTGTAAAGAATACACCTGGGCCAGGCACAGTGGCTCACGCCTGTAATTCCAGCACTTTGGGAGGTCAAAGCAGCAGATCACTTGAGGCAAGGAGTTTCAGACCAGCCTGGCCTCCACACCTAGCCAGGAAGCTTGGAGACTGAGTTAAATCACACATCCAATGATTTAATCAATTACGCCTATGTAATGAAGCCCCAGCAAAACTCTAGACATCAAGATTTGGTGGAGCTTCCCTGTTGGTAAAGGCATTGATGTGCTGGGATGGTGACAGGCCCTGACTCCACAGGCAGCATGGAAGCTTCATGCTCCCTCCCAGACCTTGCCCTATTCATTATCCTTTATAGTAAACCCATAAGCATATGTATGCCACTTTCCTACATTCTGAGCGGTTCTAGTGAATAATAGAAACAGGGTCCTGGGAAGCCCTGAATTTGTAGCCAGTCAAGTGTCCGAGAGGCTGGGCACAGTGGCTCATGCCTGTAATCACAGCATTTCAGGAGGCCAAGGCAAGCAGATCACCTGAGGTTAGGAGTTTGAGACCAGCCTGGCCAACACAGCAAAAACCCACCTCTACTGAAAATAGAAAAATTAGCCGGGCGTAGTGGCACATGCCTGCATCCCAGCTACCTGGGAGGCTGAGAAACAAGAATCACTTGAACCTGGGAGGCAAAGATTGCAGTGAGCCAATATCATGCCACTGCACTCCAGCCTGGACTACAGTGTGAGACTCCATGTCAAAAAAAAAAAAAAAAAAAAAAAAGTGGGCTGGGTGCAGTGGCTCAAGCCTGTAATCCCAGCACTTTGGGAGGCAAGGCAGGCAGATCACCTGAGGTCAGAAGTTTGAAATCAGTCTGGCCAACATGGTGAAACCCTGTCTCTAAAAATAATAATAATAATAATTTTAAAAAAAAGAAATGTCAGAGGACTGGGGATCTCCCTTATAGCTGACGTCAGTCTTAGGACTGAACCCAATGAAGTCCAAAGCCAAATTCAGGTGCTTAGAGTTGGAACTGAATTGTACAAAGTACACCCACTTTGGAGTGAAACCAAATAAAATAAAATTCAGATAAATCAACAAATACACAATCATACGACTTCATTCTAACCCTACTAAAGTTGAGACATCTGTGAACAGTCCACCTCTGAAGGTAACCTCGGAAAGACAGAGCCTTAAAATGAATTCAGAAAGATCAGCTTTTGGAATTAAGATTAAATCCACTCATGCCTATAATCCCAACACTTTGGGAAGCCAAGGTGGGAGGATCACTTGAGCCCAGGAGTTCAAGACCAGCCTGGGCAACATAGTGAGACCTGGTCTCTGCAAAAAATGTTTTAAGTTGGCCGGGCGTGGTGGCTCACACCTGTAATCCCAGCACTCTGGGAGGCTGAGATGGGTAGATCATCTGAGGTTGGGAGTTCGATACCAGCCTGGCCAACATGGTGACACCCCATCTCTAATTTTAAAATATATATATATTTTTTTTTTTTTAAAAGATGTAAAGTTAGGCATGGTGGTACACACCCATAGTCCCAGCTATTTGTGAGGCTGATATATAAGGATCCCTTGACCCCTGGTTGGAGCTGCACTGAGCCATGATCGTGCCGCTGCACTCCAGCCTGGGCCAAAGAGCAAGAGACCCTGTCTCAAAATAAATAAATATTAAATATTAAAAATCAAATAAGCCAGGCGTGGTGGGTCACGCCTGTAATCCCCACACTTTGGGAGGCTGAGGCGGGTGGATCATGAGGTCAGGAGTTCGAGACCATCCTGGACAACATGGTGAAACCCCGTCTCTACTAAAAATACAAAAATTAGCTGGGCATGGTGGTGCCCGCCTGTAGTCCCAGCTACTCAGGAGGCTGAGGCAGGAGAATTGCCTGAACCCAGGAGGCGGGGGTTTCAGTGAGCCGAGATCATGCCATTGCACTCCAGTCTGGGTAACAAGAGCGAAACTCTGTCTCAAAAAAAAAAAAAATCAAATAATAAAGAAATGAAATATATAAGAAATCATACAATTCAACAGCAAAAGAACAAAAGACTTTTAAATGGTTAGTGGGCCTGAAAAGACTTTTTTTTTTTTTTTTAAGACAGGGTCTCTGTCAGCCAGGCTGGAATACAGTGGCACTGTCACTGCTCACTGCAGCCTCCACCTCCCAGGCTCAAGCGATTCTCTCACCTCAGCCTCCTGAGTAGCTGGGATCACTGGCACACTCCACCATTCCTGGCTAATTGTGTTTATTGTTTATAGAGACGGGGCTTCCTGTGTTCCTCAGACTGGTCTTGAACTCCTGGGCTCAAGGAATCCTCTCACCTCAGCCTCTCAAAGTGCTGGTATTATAGGCATGAGCCACTGCTCCTGGCCTGAAAAGACATTTGTCCAAAGAACACAAACAAAAGGCCAACAGATATATGAAAAGTTGATGAACATCACTGTTCTATGTAAGTTTTCAGGGCCGCAAAAGAAGTAGCACTTGATGTAAATGTTCTCAGCAAGGCAATTTACTGCTATAGAAGGGTGTGTCTCACAGATGGCACAATGGCAAGTGCACACCTGAACAGGGAGGGGAGG